CGTCATAACGAGAGAGCAATGGACACGAAGGCTCAATAACTAACTACGAGATACTGAAATGTTGCAGGGTATCGAGTTCGCAAAACAAAATCGAAGTACAGCTGTGACGATGATTTAGCAAAACGATAGAAATGGCTTCACTAACACAGTACATATAGCCAACGCGAAGTTTTAATTCAAGATCCCTGCGCAAGTTTTTTTAATTTATTATATTTTGGTCTTTAAAATTTTGTGCAAAAAATTAACATCATGGAGTTTATGCAACTTTTAAGACAGCCGACCCTTTATTGAATTTTATTGAGGCCAGATTTTTCTGATGTTAGCATTAAAAAGATTATGTCTTGATAAAATATTCGTTGACCGCATTAAGATATTGAAGCTTCCTTTATATGAGTTTATATGGTTCCTCGCGGCTTCCCTTCCCCAGTTGAAATGTATGATTATCTTTTTTCTTCGTATTTTTTGTAAAACTGACTTTTTTACTGGTTGGAAAAAATAAACTTGACTTCACTTGGCACAAATAACCTTGTTCTCCACTAAAATATATTTTAAAGCGTATCAGAATTTCTCATGTCCAAACTGTAAAAAAATAAACTTAAAACTTGATAGAATTTTTAAATATCATTATTCCTTGTGATCACAACGTAAAAAATTTGTTACAACAATAAGATTTACCGACTCAGCATGTTATAGCAATTGTAATGGACTCTTATCAAGAATTGGTAGTTGTACTGCAGTAGCATGCTGAGATGAGGCAAGGAAAATCTCCCTTGATGAAAAGGAAACGACTGATGTAGATAACCAGATGCTAGTCATTGTAAAATGAAGATAACAATACGCAATATACAGACATGGATGATAAAATAACAGTAATGTCATGATGTAATTGGTATATAACTGGATGAAGTTAACTTCGTTTTCATTCATCAGATTTGTGCACAGACAACGAATACCATTGTAAATAATGTTTCGCTTCCAACAAAATCATCAAAATCAATGGGTGCAAGATCTTACTTCGTGGGCTATGGTTCTAATTATACAGAGCAACCTGAATCGACATTGGAAGCCACAGCTCAGTAAATCATCCCAATAATAATATGTTGCAATTCCAAGCAACAAACCACCTAATTTAATAACCAACATGAATGCTCGTCTGTGCGACGAAGAACTTTGGCAAAAGTTTTCTGATGTTGGGACTGAAATGGTGTTGACAAAGAAAGGAAGGTAAAAACAGTTCTTATTATTTTCAGATTTGTTTTTAATATATTTCTGTTTTGCATTTTTTAACAATCTTAATTTTTGCAGGAGAATATTTCCAGGCTATCGAGTAAAGTTTTCAGGATTGGATCCAAATGCGCTTTACAACGTGATTCTTGACATCGTCCAGATTGATTCGAACCGATATAGGTTTCAGGTTTGTAATTCATAAAAATTCTCTTAAATAAATTTATAGTATTTTATATTTTATATAATATATTATTATAGAACACTTTATTTCATTAGAGCGGGCAATGGATTGTCGGTGGAAAAGGAGAAATTCCCCATATACAAAACCACTACGTCCATCCAATTTCCGAAGTTACTGGACAAAAATTGATGGAAGAAATTGTATCATTTCATAAAGTCAAGCTTACAAATACTACTGCAAATCGATCCCATGATACGGTACGTGAATATAATTTTTGGATTTATTCACTAATATTTCAATGTATAAAAAAGTGGAATAAATAAATTGCAACGTCTTCCATAACGTATTTTCATCATTTTTCCAGATTGTTCTCCATTCAATGCATCGGTATCAAATTCGAGTTCACCTATCAAGATCAGACAATCAACATAATATTCAAACATTTGAATTTCCACAAACAACTTTCATCACTGTAACAGCTTATCAAAATTCCGAACTTTCTCAACTTAAAATAAAAAACAATCCATATGCTAAAGGATTCCGTGCTGATGGAAAACGGAAAAACAAAAGAACGTGCTCAAATGAGGATGAATATTTCCATAACGTTTTAGAAACAAAGAAAGTATGCAAATGGGATCAACAACAAGAATTGGAACGTAGCTACAATATTCATTATAATTCATCTTTTGCAGTGGACAATACAGATTTCTGTTTTCGGTCGCAAGAACATTGCCCACTCAATATCTACAAAAACAATACTCCAACTCACCAGCCTTTACAAATGTATTTCAATTCTCCCAACTCAATTGCGTCGCAGGATTATGATCATCAAACACTTTACTCTGGCGATTCTGCAACAATTAACGAAACACAATCTCCACAAAGTTTGGAAAGAGTCGACCACACCGAGACTTTGTGGAAAGACAACTTGTTAGATGAATTGTGTAATGACAATATTGTATATTATGACGATCCGGGATATGTTTCAGCATCTCCAGCTGAATTTTTAGATAATGATGATGTTTCGAAATTTCTGTTTGGAATCGAATCATGAGTTTTATTTTACAAATACTATAATTTAACTTCCAATATAGTTCCTTTTATTTGAAAATTTTGTAAAATAAATGATCAACCGATAGATATACTACGTGTTCGTTATTCCGATTAGTAGGCGAGTGAAAGTTTTATATGTTGTTAATTAAACGTTCTTATTCTCAAAGTTATTGGGAATCTCAGGGATAGTGGTCTTCATGCTCAAGCTCTTGAAAACCAGACATTTAAATGAAAAAGAACTTGGCTCTAAATCTGTCACCACCCTTTCCAAAGATGAGGTAATATCAATTTTATTTTACAATTTTGCACTAAAGACGAAAGGCAGAAGGAAAGACCAAATTATGTCGTATTTTTCTTAATATAACCGAATTGATTATTGCAGTTTTAAATTTGATATAAAGCTTACCAGGCTAGAAGATAGGAAAATGATTTTTTACTCTAGACGTTTTTCACCTTTAGACAAAACTATGCAACTTGAATCTGTGCCACAAATACTCACCAGCCAAACTATCTTGTATGAACCACAAAAATAAAAGCGTCATGCTAACTTAGAGCAATTATTGGTAACAAAAGCTACATGAAATTATTTCCAGGACCCACTGAAGGTCGTCAAAGTATAAGCCGTCCACAATGCCGTAAATAATACATATTCCAAAGTTATGACAGAACAGCATTAAAATCAGGATCTTTTATGTGGATTTTTGGCAACTGTCAATTGCGCCTTCAAAATGACAGATTTTCTAAAGTTTTCCGATACGGAGGAACAATTGTTTGATAAGTAAAAATAGCAATATCATACTGAGTCAGCGAATCCTTTGATTTAAAAAATTTGTCAGAAATATGTATGGGGAAATATATGTGACATCAGGCGGCCAATGATTTATTTTTTCTCGTTCTATTCCCAAATATGTAAGTATATACTGTTCAAACTAGATAAAATTGATGATGATCACTAAAATTTATGATAAGTAGATTTGAAAAAATCCTAATTTATTTATTTACGAGTTACACACTACGTATTATAATTTTTATTTTTTAGTAGGGATAATCAAATTATCTACATTTGTCATTTCCGTTTAATCAATAACGAGTTTCTTTGATTACTAGAAAACAATTGCAATATCATGTTGAGTCGGTAATTCGTTTGTTCTTTTGAAATGGAATAATCGATAACAGTTTGAATGAAAAAAAAAATCGAGTCTCCTCGACTCTAAGTAATGTTGTCCTGGTAACAAGCTTTAAACTTATTGACAAGTGCGTTTGAGTGGATTTATTTATCAACATTATTCGAATTTCAATTTCCAAATTCTTGATGTAAATGACTGTATATTACGCATTATTATCTCTATTATAAAGTTGCAATAATAAAATTATCTGCATTTCACATTGCCGTTTATTCAAGATAGAGTTTCTTTGATTAGTAAATAACAATTGCAATAGCATGCTGAGTCAGTAATTCTTTTGTTTCCTGAAATGATATGAGACAACCGATAACAGTTTAAATGCGGAAGATGGCTTCTCCCAATTATAACGACCTTCTTTTCTCATCTAAAATTTGATATAATTATTACGTGAGAAATTTTATACAAGTTTGGTGAATGAAACATCGTGTTTTCCAAATTTTGGTATGCATATGATTTTTGAGGCAATAAGAAACAGAAATATATGTGATGCGAATAATGCTAAAACTGTAATTTCCTCAGCATATCTATACGTTATCATCACAATAAAAAATGATTTTTGATCTTATTATTTTATCTTAATTTATTCTTCGTCATAACAAGAGAGCAATGGACACGAAGGCTCAATAACTAACTACGAGATACTGAAATGTTGCAGAGTATCGAGTTCGCAAAACAAAATCGAAGTACAGCTGTGACGATGATTTAGCAAAACGATACAAATGACCTCTCTAACACAGTACATATAGCCAACGCGAAGTTTTTATTCAAGATCCCTGCGCAAGTTTTTTTTAATTTAACATATTTTGGTCATTGAAATTTTTAGCGAAAAAATCAACATCATGGAGTTTATGCAACTTATAAGACAGCCGACCCTTTATTGAATTTTATTGAGGCCAGATTTTTCTGATGTTAGCATTAAAAAATTATGTTTTGATAAAATATTCGTTGACCGCATTAAGATATTGAAGTTTCTTTATATGAGTTTATATGGTTCCTCGCGGCTTCCCTTCCCCAGTTGAAATGTATGATTATCTTTTGTCTTCGTATTTTTTGTAAAACTGACTTTTTCTTGGTTGGAAAAAATAAACTTGACTTCACTTGGCACAAATAACCTTGTTCTCCACTAAAATATATTTTAGAGCGTATCAGAATTTCTCATGTCCAAACTGTAAAAAAAATAAACTTAAAACTTGATAGAATTTTCAAATATATCATTATTCCTTGTGATCACAACGTAGAAAATTTGTCACAACAAAAAGATTTACCGACTCAGCATGTTATAGCAATTGTGATGGACTCTTATCAAAGAATTGGTAGTTGTACTGCAGTAGCATGCTGAGATGAGGCAAGGAAAATCTCCCTTGATGAAAAGGAAACGACTGATGTAGATAACCAGATGCTAGTCATTGTAAAATGAAGATAACAATACGCAATATACAGACATGGATGATAAAATAACAGTAATGTCATGATGTAATTGGTATATAACTGGATGAAGTTAACTTCGTTTTCATTCATCAGATTTGTGCACAGACCAACGATTACCATTGTAAATAATGTTTCGCTTCCAACAAAATCATCAAAATCAATGGGTGCAAGATCTTACTTCGTGGGGCTATGGTTCTAATTATACAGAGCAACCTGAATCGACATTGGAAGCCACAGCTTCAGTAAATCATCCCAATAATAATATGTTGCAATTCCAAGCAACAAACCCACCTAATTTAATAACCATAATGCTCGTCTGTGCGACGAAGAACTTTGGCAAAAGTTTTCTGATGTTGGGACTGAAATGGTGTTGACAAAGAAAGGAAGGTAAAAACAGTTCTTATTATTTTCAGATTTGTTTTTAATATATTTCTGTTTTGCATTATTTTAACAATCTTAATTTTTGCAGGAGAATATTTCCAGGCTATCGAGTAAAGTTTTCAGGATTGGATCCAAATGCGCTTTACAACGTGATGCTTGACATCGTCCAGATTGATTCGAATCGATATAGGTTTCAGGTTTGTAATTCATAAAAAATTCTCTAAATAAATTATAGTAATTTATATAAATATATAATAAACACTTTATTTCATTAGAGCGGGCAATGGATTGTCGGTGGAAAAGGAGAAATTCCCATATACAAAACCACTACGTCCATCCAATTTCCGAAGTTACTGGACAAAAATTGATGGAAGAAATTGTATCATTTCATAAAGTCAAGCTTACAAATACTACTGCAAATCGATCCCATGATACGGTACGTGAATATAAATTTTATTTTCATTCACTAATATCTCAATGTATAAAAAAGTGTATAATAAATATTCTGCACCGTTTTTCATAACGTATTTGCAATATTTTTTCAGATTGTTCTCCACTCAATGCATCGGTATCAAATTCGTGTTCACCTCTCAAGATCAGACAATCAACATAATATTCAAACATTTGAATTTCCACAAACAACTTTCATCACTGTAACAGCTTATCAAAATTCCGAACTTTCTCAACTTAAAATAAAAAACAATCCATATGCTAAAGGATTCCGTGCTGATGGAAAACGGAAAAATAAAAGAACGTGCTCAAATGAGGATGAATATTTCCATAACGTTTTAGAAACAAAGAAAGTATGCAAATGGGATCAACAACAAGAATTGGAACGTAGCTACAGTATTCATTATAATTCATCTTTTGCAGTGGACAATACAGATTTCTGTTTTCGGTCGCAAGAACATTGCCCATCCAATATCTACAAAAACAATACTCCAACTCACCAGCCTTTACAAATGTATTTCAATTCTCCCAACTCAATTGCGTCGCAGGATTATGATCACCAAACACTTTACTCTGGCTATTCTGCAACATTTAACGAAAAACAATCTCCACAAAGTTTAGAAAGAGTCGACCACACCGAGACTTTGTGGAAAGACAACTTGTTAGATGAATTGTGTTATGACAATATTGTATATTATGACGATCCGGGATATGTTTCAGCATCTCCAGCTGAATTTTTAGATAATGATGATGTTTCGAAATTTCTGTTTGGAATCGAATCATGAGTTTTATTTTACAAATACTATAATTTAACTTCCAATATAGTTCCTTTCATTTGAAATTTTTAAAATAAATGATCAACCGATAGATATACTATGAATTTGTTATTCCGATTAGTAGGCGAGTGAAAGTTTATATGTTGTTAATTAGAACGTTCCTATTCTCAAAATCATTGGGAATCTCAGGGATAGTGATCTTCATGCTCAAGCTCCTGAAAACCAGACATTTAAGTAAAGAGAACTTTGCTCTAAAAACTGTTACCACCCTTCCACAGATAAGGTAATATTAATTTTATTTTACAATTTTGCACTAAAGTCGAAAGGCAGAAGGAAAGATCAAATTATGTCGTATTTTTCTTATTATAACCGATGAAGCTTTCTATTTAAATTTTATTTTAATTTCGTATTACCTCAATAATCATGTGCATACCAAATTTTTATTCACCAAACTTCTAAAAAACGCTTTCCGCAGTGTTGAATCAAATTTTAGATGTGTAATGAAGTGTATTACAAATGAAAAAATTCATATGTGGCTTTAAAGCTATTATAAGTTATGTCGTAATATTTCATTAGAACAGAAGTATGCTATTGCAATTGTTTTTCGCTAATCAAAGAAACTTTCCCTGAATTAAACGGAAATGCGAAATTGAGATAATTGGATTATTGCAACCGTAAAATAATGATAATAATACGTGATACACATTGACAATAATAATAATTCGAAAGTTGTAAACAAATAAATCCACTTAAAAACATTTGTAATTTGATGATCGTTTGTTATCAAGTGTTTTTATTTTGAAATTTGCTATGCACAGCTGGAAATTTTTTTGCAATTTAATATACTTGACCACGTTAAATAACCTCATTGCTCGTCGTTTGTTTATGACATTGTTGACCTTATCTCGTGTCGGGTCAAAATAGCGCCTTTTGAAATAAATGAGTATATTTGCCATCTTTAGAAATTAGGAAAACGTAAAGCTCCGCTTAATATATTTTTGAATAAATATACTCGTTTATAACGAATATTTCGAGCAGCGTTTTCATGTACAGTGCTATTGGTGATACTCTAAATTTATTTTAAAGTCTGATTCGATTGAATCAACTTTTCAAAAGTATATGAGTGTCCTTTGAAAAGAATTGTTTATGACCGCCATTTTTTCTCATGTTTTATAAATTCCATAAAGATTACTGGAAATTGAATATTTGCCCCCGTCGTTCGTCGCACAGTCAATTGAGGTCTTGTATTTAATTGCAACTCAAATGAACATTAATAGTCTTATTTTCAGTGATTTCGTAACAATTGTGAGCCGAATTGCATAAATGTCATATAAACAAAGGTTAGGTATAGTAGAATAGTAAAGATTGTCCCACCAAAGCGAAACCTGTATGTGTATACGCAGAATAAAACAATATGATAACAAATAGCGTCACTTTCTGACCATGTGTCGCCAATTTTCCACTTCTTTGTTTTGCACCACTGAATAAATCGCGATCTTTAATACAGTACAGATATTTTTCTCTACGCCGTTCATTATCTTTTGTTTTTCATCTTTAATACTATTAATTGTCAGTTCAGTTTATTTTCATTTCAAATTATATAATTTTCGTTAAATGGTTCATAGCATCGGTCCATTTAGTTTCGTCCAATAATCATGGTTTGTTCGTTCTCTCGTCCGCAATATTGTTTTGTCGTGAATTAGAAATACTTTATTGTATTTGCATTTTTGGACACGTAGTTTCAATATTATGTTGTTGTTGTTGTTGTTCTTGTTCTTTGACACGTTTTTAAAAAGTCGCTTTTCTCTTCGAATACTGGACCAATTGCTTTGAAATTTTCAGTGGTTGAAGATACAAAATTTTTTAAGAAGGCTATTACTTTTTTTTCGCTATGACGTCATCAAAATTATGTGACTCTACGTGTCCATATATTTGAGCATAGCTCTCTTGTTCTTATTATTGTCGTCGTTTATCAGAAACTGTGAAAATGTAACGATTAATTTTAGCTATGGCCGCTGCAAATTAGGTTAAGAAGAATCAAAAGTACTTAACTTTGATTACTTTTCAAAAGTTGTTGTTTTGGGGTCACTTCTCTCCAATTCCAACTCGTCTCAGAAAGTGCTATCCTCTGCTAGGGGTTCCAATTTATAGTTAAAAAAGAATATTTTGAACTTGTTGTTGGTTGGTGTATTGTATTTTGGTTGGCTGTAGAGGACAAAAATTTTTCTGTTGTTACACGACGACGAATACAATGGTAGCGACTTAACTGCACCAATCCCCCAAGACTTTGACACTTTAATAGGGCAGCAGTTCGTGATACATATGTCCCTTCTTCATTAGAATTTGATAAACTCCAATAGATTCCTATTTATATAACAGCAAATGCTAAGCAGTTTATATAATAAATTAGAACGAATGAAAATTTTCCAATCAGGTGTGAAATTTGGATAAATTATATTGAAACTGGCTTGTGGTTATTTACCTCAACCACCGTAAAACATGTTTTAGCAGTTTCTAATTTAAAGAAAGTTTAAATTAAATCGTTCTACTTTGCTTGCTGTTATTACTTTAAAAACGTTACCTACTGTGCTAAACAATATAGAAGTGACGAAGTCAAACTAATAAAATGTTGCATCTTATTACATTCATATTTCTTCAAATATTTTATAACATTTATCATTAAAACGACAATCTACAAATAATCGATTGTTTAAAATTCAAAATATATCATTTTATCATTTTGTTTTTTTTTAATATCCCAGATAATAGTTGATTTATTGCATGACAATATTTGTTCGTGATATTCGTTAGGTGCTTCATAGACTCGAAGTGTAAATATGTATCGTTCAGGGAAATTGTTATTGTGATCGGGGTTATTTGTTGATGGGAAAATAATCATCTTTCTCCGAAACTAGTAACCCAATCGTTTTCAAAGTCTACCGTAATTATTCGAAGATGACTGACGCTGCAGGAAGGCTTGTTTTTTTTTTAATTTTCAGTACTTATCGGGTCGCTTCGATAGTATGTGCACAAAGATGGATGGCTCTCTGGTATTATTGCGCCAAGATGGCGCACAACCTGAACTCTAACCGGGTACACATACTATGTTCAGGTTGTGTGGCATCTTGGTGCACATACTACGGGAGCACCCTTATCGGTTGCTGAACCCGCTTGTATATTACTTTTATGCCTTCGAATAATTTAACCTGTGTGCTATGAGTCCCAACTTTTCACCAACAGTTTTGATATTTCTACGATTATTTCAACATCACTTGGCATTGCGGTCAGACTAATCATACAACTTTCGGCGATACTGGCTACTCAGCTGCAATCTTACCGGTACCAATGCAAATTGCTTCAGCAGCATGAACTGATTTTCGATTTCCATTTGAAGCTGTCAAATGATCTAATAACGGATTTCAGTGTAGATCACACGGGTCCACGGGTATTGGGTTTGTAAAAATACTCGCAGGCGCCATTACGAGAGACCGTCGCTATACTTTGGCAACCTGTATTTAGTTATCGTGACGTCGCAGTGATGTAATGTTTTGATGACGTCATCAGGTGGGGGTCAGGAATCAGTTATCCAAAAATTGTGACACCACGCCCACTAGAAGGTATCCATGTAGGAAAGTACACGAGACCACGATCACACAGGCTATCAGTACATATGTTGGTCATTGTACATACGTGTCCATTCATTTGAAAATTGCTATTTTTCTTTATTCTACTAAAACAATGTTTGGTGATCACAGGCTAACTTGATGTAATGGTAAAATCTAATAGTGAAAGAAGTTTGGACAGCATTCTAATACTTTGCCTTCACCCATGCGGTAGTTCACGCGGTAGTTCACGTATTATATCATTGAATGACCTCCACGTATCATCACTGCTAAAGTCTGTATATTCAGTCTGTACTTGGTATGTATATTCACTCTCATGGCAATTGTTTGTCACTCTTTTATCGGACCTCCAGAAGCATGTGCACCGAGATGTCGCACAACCTGAACGTAGTATCTGTGTACCGGTTAGGATCCAGGCTGTGAGACATCTTGGTACGCATACTTCTGGAGCACCCTTTTATCAATATGTCACGGTGATTGCTTCGAACTCTTTTATAAGTACGTTAAAACTAGCCTTTTTGCTTTATTTTCAGTAAACCTTGTATTAAAATATGATCATCAATAAAACAAACAATGAAACATGCATTTTATTACCTTGCATTTATGTTTTAATAATTTCTTTAATTATTTCAAGTTAAAATCACTTTATGCAGAACGGAAACTGAATTTAATGAAAAATAGAATTTATTGTGACGTGGTATTTTACATATGAGAGACAAATATGATTTCTTGGCTGCTTTGGATTGTTCTTAGACATCTGACAATACATTGTTGTGAATCGTCCTAATATTCCAATATTAAAGAAAATACTTGATGGCCGTGTTATATAAGGCAGTGATAGTGAACTAATTGACCAATGTGTTTAATATTATTTGTGTGAAGAATTATGTGAAGTGAGATTACCTGAAACAAGGTGAAATATTGTGAGAATTCTTATAAAAAAGCCAATATGACTATATTTAGAATAGAAACAAAAAATAATAACTGGGTCGAACCCAGTCCGTTATTTTGAAACAAAAAAGAAGTTATGAAAAATCTCGACGAAGATATTTCAACGATATAAATGTCTATAGAACAAAAATGCTTAAATTATGAGTTATCTGCCGAACGAAAGAATTTTGTCTTGTACACATGCAATGCAGTAAAAAAGACTCATATAATTATCTTTTATTATGATAATATTTTACGGGTATTTCAGGAGGATAAAAGCGCCACGTTATTCTTCGGTTTCAATTACATATTCATCGGATCAATTTTCTCTTTTCTTCTCTATGTTCACAAATTTTAGATTCATTCCTTTCGACTTGAATTTAATGACTTTCATTTTTTTATCCTGATATTCGTATATTTCTGAAAAATGAAAAAGTTAATGATTTTTAAAAATTAAGGTATTTGAGGTATAAGGTATAAATAAAATGTTTTCAAAAATATTCTTTTTATTCTGACAAATTGTCATTTGAAGCAATGAGCAAATAACTACTTGAATTTCCCTCGATGTATATCTATCTGTACGTTAGTGATCCTGAACAATGAACTTCAATTAAATATTCCATCGTAATAACTTTCAACAGTACTCACAAATAGTTATTTCTCCTATAATCGGATAGTAGATTTTTGTCAGGCGAAGTATTTCAAAAATAAATTTGTGCAAGTTGAAAACAAGATTTTCTTATTATGCAATTAACACCTGACAAAACCTTTCGACTTTGAAGCTATATTTTCTTAACTTTTGAATATATTTTAGATTTACAACATTGTGAATGCTTTGTGCTCTATATCTGACCTTCAGTAGACCCTAGAAGAAAGTTCGTATTGCTTTTGTTTTCAATAATTGCTCTAAGTTTGCACGGCGCTGGTATTCTTCCTTGGCCAAGGCAGGATAGTTTGTCTGGTGAGTATTTATTGCATAGATCCAAATTGCATGACTTTGTCTAAAAGTGAAAACAGTTTAAAATAAAAAAAATCAGTACCGTACTTACAGAATAACATCAAGTCTGATAAACTAGATAATCTTGCCTCATTCAAAGATTTAGTGGGTGCGGTTACATTCTTCAGAGGGATTTTCTCCCGCACTTGAATACCTGGACTGCAGGAGCTGGAGCACGAAGACCACTTTCCCCACGATTCCCATACATTTTCTGATAAAAAGAAAAAGGCGTCAATACAATGGAAGAAGAGAATAAAACACACACATATATATGTAAGAAGCATTTTCATTGTGTCATATTGCAAAATTACCTGTACAGTCAAAACCATCTCCTATGAATCCAGATTTACAATCACATTTCATTATATCCTTGTTTATAGTACAAGTTGCATCGGGATGGCAAAGAGATTTCCCTCTCGATATTGTATTTCCTTTATATATGAAAAAACGCAGACGTTATTCGTGTCGGTTTATTTAACATGAAAAATTGGTCATTCAACCTATTATGTCGCATTCTAATTTCCCCTATTCATTTGCATTATTGATCACGTGCTTATTGTTGGATTGTTACAGATAGTGAATGAAATCTTACTCACCCCATGTTTATATCATCGGCTGGATACATTCGTAAGAACAAGCGAAAAGTAATAGAATATTTCTTGTCAACGCGCCACTTTTTTCAATAAGTCGACAATTAGAAAATTAAGCAAAATAAAATCGTTGGCATTAGTAAACAAATAGCATTTGTAAAACCTGCCTTCTAGCATTCTTTTCTTTATTCCTACTATGAGATAGTCTGCAGCCTTCAATAAAGCTTTCACGCCTTCGACTTCATAAATTCCTATGATGTTTCCATTTTGTGTTTCACCAGTAGTAGATTGTGATATAAAAGAAGAATATTCCCCGATTCCAACAGCCGTTGGGCTTTTGATTGTCATTTGAATTGACTGGGTTCTGAAAAAAAATGGTGACTGTTACGTTTGACTCTATAATTTAGCTGGAAAGCTGGACTATGTAATTATATTGTAAATGTCGTCCCAAAGCTTCGTTCTTCACTGCCGAGTAAACACAACTTCAAAAGTTTTTTGCACATTTTTTTTCTCGTTTTGATTTGACCCATAAAATTAGACAACGAGGTATGCTCTATGTAGGAAAAATCAGGATAAATGTTCTTCAAGTTGCCCCTCTCAAATCTGAAAAACAACTGAAAGCTAAGGGAAGAGGTGCGTTTGACAGTGTTGTGGAAACCACTCGGAAAATATCACTAGTTTGAGGGTAATGCAACAAGTGTATAGCAGTGATTTCCCCGTACCTTGTTCCTGATGAGGTTGGTGAGGTTCGAAGGTACGACCGGTCAAAAAAGAGCATGTTTTAGTACTGAGACCTTGCGTCATTGGTGAATATAACAAGTCAATGGGCGGTGTGGAACCCATGGACCGGATGTGCTAAGTGACATAATGCTTTCCAGGCGATTATAAATTTCGTTTTACTTTGACTACAAGTTTATGGCATTGAAGTTGTTTTAATGAGGGGTTAATTCAATATTTCAGACTGCGCTGCGTCCAGCACCCGACGAATTGTTAAGGTTATCACTAAACCTGAATCACAAATTTACGAAAAGTTATAGATACACGTTTGGTATGGCAGGGGAAACATTGAGATCGAAATGTTTTGCACCTCCAATTGTAGAATTTATTTTTTTGTTCTTAGTGAAGATATGTGCAAACATAGATAGGTAAGCTAAATTTACAACTTGAATCTGAATATGGCTGTAGCTTGGATTAGTTCATTAATTATTTTTAAAATCGATACCCAGACAGGCCTAGTGGTATATAACAGAATCACGTCAAATCTCGGATACACACGGTGATAAATGATGAACGTCAATATTCCGAAACTTGGATGCCGAAATTCCGCTCAAATATCGCGGAATTGCCTATTGACGCTATGGGAACTTTCTGTCGTTTGCGTTATGTTCTGATACTTTTCTAAAAAGGGACTTCGTAACGTTCACTACAATTTAGTCCTTAGCCTGTATATATTAACTGGCATTGTACACCTATAACCCACCTCATCAAGTCACATTCTAAAAGGTTAATATATGTAAACCAGTGTTTCAGCTATACGTTGACACAACGTGTATTATTGGTCAAATAACGAGATAAACTTACATTTGCTGAAAATAATCCATTGCGTAATATCGGGTATTTGTGCGGAATCTTGATGCAAGAATCCTTGGAGTCTGAAGAGCCATGGGCAATGCAGCGTTCTTTATTTTCGTAATGTTGTATTTTCCATTTGAATGTGATGTATCAACGACATATATAATATCAATATGACCGCAGTTGATAGCTGTAACATTGAAGCATCCAATAAACATCTGTTCGCAACATTGTTGAGGTGTGGTAATTTTACCACACGCATCTGTTTTATTAGTTTTCAAAACGCGAACTTCAATTATATTAAAAAATGAACCTAACACTAACAAAATATTGTTCTCAGAACAAAATTTGGGATAAAACGGTAAGATTTTACTGAGCGAACCAAAATTTAAAGTACCAGACCTAAAGATATGATGGATGATTCATCAAGAAAACGCACAATCGCATAAAAAAGTCTCGTGATTCACACCAAATAACTTGATATTAAAAATACCACATACCTTCACATGTTATGCCGTCGCCAACGTAGCCAGATATACATTCGCAAGTAAAACTTCCAATGGTGTTCGTGCAGATGCTATCGTCATGGCATGTATGCCATCCTATTACGCACTCATCAATATCGACGCCTAAATTATCACAAAATATTTTACGCACATTTTACAATAATTAAACATAAAAATAAAATTTTTGTGCATCAGTTTCAAAATGGTTTACATCCTGAAGAGATCCGTATGGTTGACGTTCATGGTTCTGGCTACGGCAGGCAGTGAGATTTCAAACATGACCTTTCACTTACAGCGACGCTAGTAGCTATATACTTTTCCAATACTTTCAAATACCCTTTTCATAATTACGTGAAATACATTAAAATAGCGTGACTGGGAATGATATTTTCTATTCAAATTATATGTTATAAAGAACTGACTGTTTTCTATGTTCTAGCATCTACAGAATTAGTTGAATGTCATAATCATTGAAACCTATTTGATGCCATTTGATATCACACAAAAATTCTTACATTCATTCTCAGATGCAATAAACCCAACTCCACATGCACACATTCCGTTTTGGCACTCCGAATTTGGATCACATTTTGAGATATCATCTTCTGTACAAGATTTTGGAACGCATGAGGCTTTCCCTTGTTCGAAATTGATGGGACATGCACAGATCGAAGAGCCAGTCAAACAGTACGAATTGGCACCACAGATTGAGGAGGCAGTCATAAAAGTGCACGTCTTGGGCATGCAGGCACCGGTACTTATGTTAGTCTCAGCCAAATTTCCACATTGACATTGCTTTGTAGAATTCATATGAATGCAGTACGAATTATTTTCCGTACAGTCTTCAGTCATGAAACACATATTTCTCAAACATTCCGTAGAGTTGGAACCGCCGAAATTCTTTTTGCAAACACATAAGTTATCTTCACAATATGAATTTGGGTCGAAACTTGTGCAGTTTTGATTAGTTTGACATGACCTTTGCACACATGCTAATCCGGATTCTACGTAATTTGCAACGCAGCTACATTTGTTGTTTACGGCGCAAACGGTATTTTCTCCACATTCAATGGAAGGATTATCACTGAAACATTCTTTGCGTTCACAATTCGTTGCAGTTACGTCAGGGTGATAATTTATGTTGCAAATGCACTCAGGTGGAGTTTGATTAGAACATGTATCGGCATTAGGTTCACCAATACATGTACCTCCAGCTCCACTGCAGGTACCATCGAGGTAACAATATCCTGAAAAAGATACTGACGAGTGAACATCATTTTTAAAAACTATTTTAATTGCCTTTATTTGCCTTATTTTTAACCAAAAATATGTTCATATGCCAAACAGCAACTATAAGTTCTGATGGACGATCAGTTATTTTCACCTTGGAATATTTGATAAATTCTAATGGAATGCCGATTGGTCAATACAATGGAAAGATGTCAGCGTAAATTAGTAATTACAGTTCTTTTGCGTCGAAAACGTAGAAACTTTCTCCTAAATTGAAAATAAAGACTATGTTTGTCTTACCTCCCTTTAAGATGAGTGCAATCCAAATGACTACAAAGAAATAGGCGATATGAGACCGACGCATATCTACAGTCCTTAAAATAGCAACCTTCAAATACCCTTTTATTTATTTGTTATATTAGGAATTAATAAAAAAAAAATTGGCATAAATATTATTTTGCTGCTTCAAATCTGATTTTAGTCGAACATGTTAGAAAACAGCCATCCCTTGTACGATTATTAAAAATAGATCTTCTTATTAGGCAATGTTACGACATTTAGATACTCGATAAAAAGAATACTTTTGTTAATACACCTTTTTTGACAATAGCAAGGTAGTTAGTTTCACGCAACCTCAACTGTTAATTACTAATATCAATTTTTATTTTTCCTACTGTTGGCTTGTTCCTACTGTTTTCATAACTATTTAAACTCGTGTCCAACACCAATTTAAAATGCTTCACGTGGCGTAATTTTTAAATTTTTATACTTCGTAGGGATTTATTCTAGTTATTCCTGTCAATCTGATCTGTATATAATGCTTAAGATTATATTTCACAACGAAATGAACTAATAATAATACAGATTCAATATCGCAAAAGACTCAACTACGGATGCGGATTTTTTGGAAAAAATAACAAACATTATTCTTGAATACATATATAATCCATACGCAAATCGCATTTAAACGCGATTCGAATATGGCCATACTTTATAAGGAACGGAAATAGCAACATCTGGTTATTGTTTTCAAAACCACCTACATAAAATTCTCCACCAACGTACTGTAAAAAGGTGCATGAAAGTAACTGGTGATTATGAGTAATTGAGGAAATTCATTTGTCAAGTTGGATACCAAAAACAGTAATATATTCATTGTTTAAGAAAAATAAGGATGACATTAACTAACTTTACCTACCTAACTTTATAGCTAAAGTCGTCAAGTGAACCGAAATGAATTTTATATATGCATCCAGTACGACAATAAAAACAAACACGTTGAACGAAATGGTAAATCAGGTAGGCTAAATGGTCATGATAGTCTGGAGGCGAGTTCCAAGCAAACTATCAAAGCATGAGTCCCATCGTAAGCTGAGTCACGACACCTGAGTCGCTGGTACTTTCAATACTACAAATCAATTTTCACCCCTTTATTCATATCAATCGAACTGAGCAACACGTTTTTCTAAAAGAAGCCGTTCTAACCCCTTGAATTCCCTAAACTGAATATAACTATGGTGCTGGTGATTGGAGTGACGTATCCAGCTCTTTTATAAGCGACAAATAGTTTCGGACAATGTAATCCATTAAGTCGGTTCGTTTGGTTGAATATGTCTCTAAATTATTTTTGGTTGACGAGCTCCGTTATCGTACTTTTTTAAATTTCGAATGAATATACCTGGACCTACATACTAAATATATTCGCTACAGTAGTGAAGGTTTCCTCGCATTCAACATACGTTAGCAACACACATTTACACGCTTTCTATAGCGTAGTTACATCAATGAGTTACCTAAACAAGACTTTCGAGTGGCAATATCAAAAATCGATTCATAGTCTTATTTTTTACGATCGATGTATAACATACACAAAGCCGCTAATCCCGCCCCCTCTTGATACGAGATAACAAAAATAGAGATCATCATCAATTTATTTACAAATCATCGAGGTTGAATTATCTTTTCTATTTCAAATACCGATTAACAAACGGAGAAATAGCCGATAGCAGAGGCTTCATTCAAAATACAAGCATTTAACCTAAACTCGACTAGACATTGAATAATTATATTTTGCTTTACCACATTTCAAATACACCGCGGCGGAGCAAACATAAGTACGCATTTTTTAGTATTCGACGGTAAAGAAATTTATAGCAAAAATTGTTCGAAAGACTAGTTCGTGAAATTGAAATACTAACATTGGTGACTGTCTGATATCAAACAAAATAAGCATTCGTTGATGAAAAATCAGTGTAGGGCAAATAGAACAAGGTAAAAACAATGGTATAATGGTCAATAATATATACGATTCGTATTTTTAATATGTTCATAATAAAGAAATTAATACTGCAAGCAAGCTTAGTGCATTTTGAAAACCGTGATATGGGATGCCAGATTATTGGACACCGCCCAAAGACACGAGAATTTCTGTTGTAATTCGTGGTCGCCATCCCTGTTTTGCAAACTGTTGATTTCGCGGGGCATCACAAACGTAACTGTTAATTTTCAATCAAGCGAGGCAAAAACAGATAACCAATAAATAAAACAGAGTTGGGGGTCTTAGGTGTCATGTTGTTCACATCAATACATAATCCATTTTGACGACGATTTTCAGCAAACGATAATAGTCTGATGACGTTATAATATCCAAAATATTACATCTAGAGGTCATCAGATTCTGGCAAATGATGGGCGGGGGAAAGGGCATGTACGTCAGGGCTGATCGCTTCCCTCATATCAATTCCTGCTGTCTTGGCGAGATTAGCGTATCTGTGTGGAGTCCTGATGCGACGACGTTGATGTGGTGCCTCCATTGTTGGTGCTAAAAAACAACGATAGTATGCAATATAATATTTAAATCAAAATTTCTTTAATAACATATACCGGTATATGTAAGTGGTGGAAACTGATATCAACTCAAAGAGTCTTACAGGGTTTCCCAACGGCTTTGTAGGTATATTTCACAAAAGCTTAAATGGTATTATCTGGTTTGTTGTTATTGCAATGGTGTGCAGTATTAGGTGCATTGGTTCCATTCGCAAGGTGTTTAACAATATGAATGGCCGGCCACTTATAAATGAGACTTGAAAAAAAGCGAAATCTTCCGCATAATTCCTTCTATCTTTAACTTTGAGGGTACACGCGTGGTGGACATGAATCAACCCCTGTTATTAATAGGGCTACAAGAACCAAAGATATCTTCTTTGCGATACCAACGTGATAACCACTACCTGTCTAATAGACTCAAAACGGTTCAGAGCTGTAAATAATCTGATTCACAACATGATTCTGAATGTTTTGGTTGCTAGGTTATAATAATTAGGAATGTAAGAAAACTTACAATAAACATCTAGTTTACAGTTGCAGCTAACAATCCCAGCTTTGTTGGTAGCACTGCATGTATACCATTCCGAATCTTGTCTCGTTGCCTCAGAAATTTGAAGACAAACGTAACCACTGTCATCTTGATAAATTCTAAAATTGAAAGAATAGCATTACATTTAGTAATTTGTGTTATGTAAAATTCACCACCTCATAGATTTTGACACGTACTGCGTCACCATATGTATACATATATATTGTTTCAGTAGATCTTGGCATCTCAGTGGTCGCATGTAACTTTTCTTAGTGATCAGCCTACTTTATTTCTGGGTGAGATAAAGCAGGGCTCTTCAAACTGGGGATCCGGACCCCCGCTGGGTCGCGAAAGGGCTCAGTGTGAGAGTCGCGTAAAAAAAATACGACACCAACTTATGTTAAAACAGCAAAACGATCAAATTTGAAATATTTAGAACCAGTACTGAGGCCCACCATCACTGATATAGAGCCATCAAGTCCATGCATCTGAAACGAAAAACTGGCAAACTCATGTCATACCCGACATGGTCTGGTAACCGAATGCAAGGCCGTGATTCGCCACACGATTTAGCCGTCTTATCGGCTTTCATCTCCCCCGGGATAAATATGTAAATTTAAATCCCAAAAGATTCGATCTCCTGTGCGAGAATATGCGAGCAAATCGGTCTTATTAAAGGTATCGTTAATTTTATTATTTGTTTTTTAATATTTGCTATAAATATTATGAAATTTTACTTTATTTTTATTTTAGTTTCTGGGGGTCGAGAAAGAATTTGGCCGTGCCAAGTTTGTCGTGATAAAAAAAAGTTTGCAGAACACTGACATTGAGTGATCTTGATTTAAGCAAATTCTAATAAATATATATATATATATATATATATATATATATATATATATATATATATATATATATATATGGATGAGGACATGATGTATTACAAGTAAAATGCATATAAATCGCTGCGTGGTTCATTGACTAATATAGATTCCTGCTATTTAATCATGCCTAAAAGCCCGAAAGATTCAAACTAGGAATATATGAAAAGTAATTTGGAATATTGACTAATACAAATCTAAGTTAAAAAATAAACAAGAACGATATAATAAAAATTCATTTCTTCAGTTAGTCGTCACCAGGAAAATGCAATACGTGGTCCTACTTACTGAGTTCTTGGGGTATTCATTACTTGTTGCGATCCACGTTTCCAGCATATAGTGGGCAATGGCTTCCCAATCACTCTTGCTTCGAGACGTACAGATCCACCTTCTGCGGCTACTTGTGGTGTTAATCTTTGTACAAATATGGGTACCGTCATCTGTTCTTGTTCTGTAAGATTTTAATCAGTCATTAGAAAAACGATTACCTCTCTCAATTCTGTGCTATGGGCAATATTTGTGAAGTCTAGGTGTTGTAGATCTGATGGCGGAACAGTCCGTTCTTCACAACTCCTGTTATTTCGATATCATTCAGAAACTTTGATGTTAAATCTTTTTGAATGCTCAAGTGACAAATAAAAGAGCATCCATTCAAATTCAACGATAAAATATGGCAAGTACAATATTCCAGATATGGTAACAGGTGCAGAATTAGTATATATATATATACAAAACGGATAAAATATATAGACGCAGGAATTCGCCTTGTCACTAGTCATAGCAGAACTGTTTACTTACGCTTTACTCGCAGCTGAATGTGAACAGTAGCTCTACCGGCCTTGTTAGTAGCAACTACTGAATATTGTCCTTCGTCCATTGTAGATACCGGTTGGATGAGGAGACTGTGAACATTATTTTCTCGCACTAAGATCTTATGATGTGGGTCTTGTATTACTGGATTACCATTTATCAACCAAGTCAAATCTGGTTGGGGGAGCCCAGTCACCTGAAAAAAACAAGGTTTTTGTTTTAAGTTAAAAGTATTTTGTACTTGATTCATCCAATAGGGGTACACTCACACAAGCTGACAGTTTATTGCACGACAATTTGTGACTCTCTTTAAAAAAAGGGGGAAACGGACTGAAGTGATGTAATAATGAAAGTACCGTAACACGAAATCAATACTCAAGAATGGATGAGAAAAATAAAGCTTCATGAGTCAAGACCGAATATTATAAGCCCCAAGTAAAACGACTCAAGGTGGATAAGTGGTGGTTCCTGGTAAACTGCTTGAGTAAATGTACATCAGGTGACTAAACTAAGTGAATATAAAATAGGAAATTTCACCTTTATATCCAATCTTGCTAATTTTCCTTCATCGACCTCAATATTTCCTGATTTTTGAACAAATACAGGCTTGAAATATTTTTCTACTGGGCTCTCTTCGTCGTCAGCTAATGTTCCTTTTTCTTGAATCCTGAAATATCAACAGACTAATTGCAAAGAGTTCAAATGGTTGTTTGTTTGTCAACGTCCTGTTCGGAGCGAAATTTTTGATGAGCATAGCGTAACATATAGCAGGTTAAATACATTGTCCTTTTCAATAATTATTTTGAAAAAATGAAGATTGTCAACTAAACCACGAATTCAGGTTCATATCATAAAAACGGACGGGGATTATTATACATTCTGATATGCATCGTTTAACTCTGTTGTTATGGCATTCCAAAATATAAAAAAAGTATACAAAGAAAAAGCATTCAAAAAGTTATGATGTAAAAAAAAAGGTAACCTCATTGGGGATCGTTCAGGCAGAGGCTGAGATGCGCTTGGAGTCCTGCTTGAAAGAATGGCAAGTCTGCCTGTGCAGCTGACTCGACCCTGTATTCAAAATTAAGCAATAATTTGAATTGTGGTAAACTGGATTCCATATGTTGCAACACACATTTAATATGATATGAGAGAAGCAAATATGAAATATTGTAGAAAAAAGCACATTTCTCAGTATCATATCACGCACTTTTCGGACCCTACATTGCGAAATAAAAATGAAATCTGATGGACGTAATATTTGGACTGTTTCAACAAACAACAATATTGGAGAAGCTAAACGACAGAATCGAATGAAACCTAAAGCACAGTGTGTTGTTTACGTGCTTCTCTATATAAATAATATACATACCCTGGGGTTAAGGGCAAGGGCTGTATAGTTTCCATCATCTTCGACACAAGTACGTGGGATGTAAAGAGAGAAAACGCCATCTTCATCTTTAGATTGCAGATAATGCTGGGATCGTTTAGATATTTGTTTTCCGTCTTTAAACCAGTAAACCTAAAATTGAACAACAGAAAATTTTAGTGCTTTACACATAAACGTATCGTATATGTAACTACAGGTCTATAAAAGAAGATGCAAACATACCTTAGGCATTGGGTTTCCTGCAACTTTGCACATAAATTTCATGGGAGCGCCAACCAGTATTTTATAACTTCCAATAATATTTTTATAAGCGGGAGCTCTCTGTTAAAAAGTAATTGTTATAAATTATGAATATAATAAAATGAAACTATATTTTAGTAAAAAATACATCAAAACTCAGTACAGAGGCAGATTAAGGTCGAAATCCTCATGAGGAAATTTTTGATTCGACACCCTAGAAACCTGTAAAATCACATAATTATATTCTTCAAGATTTTAAAATGTTATTATTATTCTTTTCAATTAAACCCTTTAAAATTAAAATCACGCATAGCACGACGCAATTAAACAGCTCGGCATTAGTCTTTTATGCACATATGAATATAGAGTGTATGAAAATATTGTATGGATATATACACAAAAAATGGTCAGTGGCGTTGACAAAGGGTATTTTGTGATATCGCCAACATTAACTCAGCATGAAAATGCAATTTTTCAATATTTTCTAAATAGTAATAGTAGTGTACAGGTTTATTGAAAAGTGAGATAGCTATTCATAACTATTGACCTAGTTTTAGGCCATCTTTTAAGTTAATTAGAGAATTGAATATGCCGAAAAAGAATTTTGATGTACATACCTGTTCGTGTGGTGGTACTGATTCAAACACAGCATCTTGTGGATCTTCATTGACAGGTGGAGTTCTTTCAAGTCTATATTCGATTTCGTTGATCAATCTTTGTTCAAAATTGGAAACACGATATTCCTGAAATTAAATGGGTAGGAAACAAATTAGAATTGAAAATGTATCTGAGACATATATTAAGATTTAAAATGTCTTCGATCTTGGCAGCGAACTTTGAATTAGCAAGACATTAAACGCTGTTTAAAACTTGCGTGAGATCCACTATATTAGATGATTGCTTGTAGATAAGGCCAAAATATTTGGCGTTGGACGTCTTTTCCCCGAAAACAACGCGTGACGGAGGCGTACACAGCTACTGGAAATGCAGCGGTAGAGTTGGAGTTTTATTTATTTTTTTGCTGGTGTCGAAGCCGGGTTCGAGCTTCCAAAATTTCTGATTTTTCAAATTCAAGGATGAGAGTAAATTTTTAACAAATCTCTGGAGGTATTCAAGTAACCAATAAATTCAAAATACAAACTAATAATGCAGCGTTTTCGTGGTCAAATTTATAACGGAGTTGGAAACAAGAGTCGATATCGAATTATTTCAAACGTGGAATCCGGGGCTAAAGTTAATATATACTCTCAACGTATCAAAGCCAGCTTGACAATAATTCGGTCCAATTTAAAATAAGATATAAACATATCGACATAGGATATGCCGTTTGCTCAGGGATATAACAAATTCAAACACGGTCAATATACTAAATTCAATTACAATTTTTAGGGAAAGAATAAATTTTAGGTCCCAACCACTTGCATATACCCCGAAAAAGCATTTGAACAAAAAACGCGAAAGGGTGGTGCAAAATGTATTCAATTTGTGCACTTTGTTCTATTCTAATCTTTTTGAAGTTTTATTAATAATATTAAGATAAGAAATAAAATGTAATTCTCAAAATGATATGAACCTCGTGAATATGGTGAATGTGACCTCGTCTGGCGTACGTACAGAGTGTGCTGTGTTAAAAAAGTGATCACACGAGACAAGCCAAGTTAGATGAAGTTTGGGTTAAATGAGATAATTAATTGGAAAATGTTCAGTTATATAAGATAAGCAATAACATTATGGCAAGAGGTCGCATTCTATTATCGCTTATCGCCTTTGTTCTTATATGTTTTCTTGGATTCTTTATCTTTAGTTCAGACTATATTGGAAGTGTGACAACATATTATGGTAAATAGAAAAGAGGCCGCAAATACCTCAACTTATTCTAGCCTCAGATAAATAGAATCGAACAAATTGGTGGTGAGAAATACCGGGACAGTGACAAGTGTGCCAACAAAAGTAAATTATTTAATCATAATGGTAATCGGAATGATATCATACTCGATACTTTTATGAAGGTATATATGGTGGACACGGGTCGTGAATTTAATTTACCTAATAACTAACGGGTTGCATTACGAGATGATAAATGATGTATATGCATGATCAAAACCATGTTCAAAAACAACTTCATTAAACCTGTGGGGCTTCGTCTCCTGTTCCAAGACGTGGCGAAAAGATATAATCACGTGGTGAGTTGTCCTTATTTTAAAGAAAAATGTAAAGAAGAAAGCTCGAATGTATAATAAATCACACACACGGCTGCAGGTAACTAACAACTATTAGTCAGTTTACACTTATCTATGTAACGGCTAGTGAAATTTGTAGCCCGTATTATTTTTTGAATTAGGCACTTGAGTTATGCCATTATCAGCCTTCATGGCCTCTCACACACAGAAAGGGAGTAACCTGTATTAAATCAACCACAAAAACGATATAATGGCTCATAATATCCGGAGTATTCAACTATGCAATAGATCTCGTCGTCATCATTCGAGATGTTAGTATCTCTTTACTAATCTGTTTCCAGAGTTGCTTTGAGAGGTCGGAATCCGCCTAGTGTTTGTGTTAATCTTACCTATTTAAAATAAAAACGAAAATAAGGTCATTACGATCGCCTACCTGATCGTCGCCTTTTCGCGAAATGTCGGTACTCGAGAGTTTCTGAGACAAATCCTGAACGAGTGTGTCCTTCTCCTGCTTGAAATTATGATTGGAATCCATCAGCGCATCTTGCCTATAAAAAGGAAAACCGCTGTTATGAAATCCTATGAAAATAACATAAACAAGCATTAGAAATCGTATACATCTAAAATAGCCTGCATATATAAAGAAAAGGATCCAAGTATCCCAGGAATTTGTTCGCTGTACAACGTATAGCCTGTTCACCCAACTCATCAATCTCCATTACAATAGTTAAATTCAATTGCCAATAACTTACAATTGTGGTTGTGGTTCATGTGAAGAGTACTTATGGTATTACACTGTAAATCAGCTACATATCGTGATTTATTAGGTAATCACAGTAATAATTTCTGTTGTTAGTAGCAAAACAGTATGACTAAAATTTAACTGCATGATTGTATGAACGCAAAATGGATATAAATGGGAAAATAGCCCTTAACTGGTATGAAAAATTTTATGGACTCCATGCATCTGGAACTCTATATTCCCACTTCAAATAGGCTAGCATTTGCAGGGTGATAAACAAGATAAGTTCCAATTGAAGCCGAAAAATTCAAACCAAGACTGTTACTGGAAATGGAATTTTGATAATCCATAATATATCTATATATAGCATAAGGTTTCGCCTGTATGCAAATGATACTGAAAATATTTGAACTATTCAAAAGGTTTGCGGCCGAAAAACATAAATTTTCTCTAAAAAACTTGCTCTTGGCAAGACATATATTATTGCTTGAGTGCCGTTGGGCGTGTGGATTTCGAATTGTCATTTGATTTGTGAAGTTTACTTCTATATGGCGCAAAACTGAGGAAACGGTTTTTTTCAAATCATGTATTTGTGAGTATAAACAATTGATTGACTCTAAATACTGCATTAATCGGTCGGTGCTGGGTTGATTTGTTTCATTTCAAATAATAAGAATTAAAACATGCATACGGTGATAATGGTGGTGATTGAATCATGGTTGATGGTTGTGAGGTGGAAGGAGTCTCTTCTACAGTGACCGGTTGTTCTACGGGTATGTCTTCTTCCTCTGCAGGTTCCGAGTTCTCTTCTGGGGGAACCGGCGTTACACAAACGCGTATGGGGGGATGATCAGGTATCTCGTATTCAACGCTTTCACTTTCACTATACAAAGAATTGATGAGAATGAAGAAATGTTAGTTAAGCATGCATTTACTGAAATTGAACCGAAAAGATGGAATGATGTAGATGAAATTACCGACTGGGACATGCAATTTTTTAATCTGCAAAACAACGAGAAGTAGAACATCGTAAAGAATCAATTGTAATCTATTTTTTGATTGGATTCGTGTATCGACTGCATTCATATGATGGACATCGTAGGATACATCATGCCTCAGAAAAAATACGGATTAAAAAAATTAAATAGCATTCGAAATTTCGAACTAAAATATGCCATAACAGTCTCTAACGCAGGTGTGTGGTTTCACTGTTTTGTTAGCGAAAAATATGTTTTACAATTGTCTCTACGATGCTACGAAAATAATTGAATATGTGGTTGAATTATATAGCGCTTTAGACTTTGATATATTTTGCTTGTCCAATAACAATTTTAATAAGAAATATCCTTGAAGAAACGCAGTTCTGTCTGTATTGACCTTTTTGATAGGCTTAAATTATTCTATTACGAACTTTCGATATACACTAAAATTAGGTAAGTTTTGAAAGTCCATTTTAAGAGTGCACATAATCTTAATTCGTGTAGGATTAACACAATGATCTCAAATGAAACTGACAATTAATTTTATTTTTATCAAAATAAATGAAAGAAAGCAGCATAATCAGTAATTAAGTCGTCAGTGATTGCTGTTTTAATTTTCGTCGTTCTACACTAGATTTCGCAGTAAGATTCAATCAAAGATGTCCAAAACGAATCGAGTATTCGTGTTCGTTCAAAATTGGTTATATTCAGTATAGCAAGTCTTAATTTTGGAATGATATATTATATTTTGATTCGAGAATTTTTATGTTAAGAACTTGATTTCTGATGGCAAGCCAAGCAACAGACTAAATTCTTGCATTGTACAAATCAATTTATATTCCATATTAAAAACGATAAATTTACAATAATTTCCAAATTTCATTGTTGAGAGTGACCGAATTTAAAATATTTATCATATATAAAAAATATCATCGAATGTATTCGGAAAAGTAATTATATTCGACTTTGTCCATGTCTAGATTGAACACCAAAAATAGAATTGATTTATTTAAATTACCTAATGCTTCACTGATGATATCTTATTAAATAATAATCCATTTATCCAATGATATGAATACAATCACGAGTGAAAAGACCGCCAATGTCATTTTCCCAGTCGCTCTGCCATGCGCAATTAACATACCGTAGCTAAAATATTTGAGACCGATAAGATTCTTGTGGTAAAAAGACTGAGAACATTTTTCCGCTGCGTTGAAAATATTCTATATAATTGCGACTGATATCACGGTTATCAGATTGGGATAAAAAAGCAAAATATTATCGCTACACCCAAGTACAGATTGGTAAGGGTGCAAGGTATATTGCGTTGCGATTTTCAGAAGAATTACATAGGCAAAAATATACACTCGTGACATGTACACGACCAACGGCGACAGCACCCTAAATAGAGAATCTATACATTCCGTAAATTAGTTCAAAATCCATTTTGTAATAACAATTTGGGATGGGACAATTTTTAATGTTATAGAATCTAGCTAATTTCTAAACGGCAACAATAAATAACGCGTCATCCGCGCTGGCATGATTATAGTTAGATTCCTGAGGCATAATGTAAATGAAATGATGTGTGAATGCACTGCGTTATGTATACTGAGTTTCAACCTTCACGTCGGGCCGATTCAATTATTTAACAAACCCTTACCACAGAAGTACCGGCGGAATGTATATTGAAGCCCTAATCATAGACAGCGTATACTCAAACTGCATATAAATATACCAAGCCTTCAATAGATTCGTCATTTGCAAGTTCCATATAACTTCCTGAACAAGTTGTCGCATTTCTATATTTATAAACCACAGCAACCCGTGGAATGATTGTAAAGGGTTAAAGCAATCATTTGCACTTACGATTGCGCAGCAGCTGCCGGAGCTCGCAGTTGTCTTTCAGTGACGACTTTCGATGCCGATGGAGCCTTGGTTGACACAGAATAGTAACCACCTCCTGTAATAAACGTACACAAATTAGAAAAATCATTAAAACACTGTTACATTTTAAATGGTAATCCGAACTGAATGATATATTTATATAGAAAAAGGGAAATCTCTGCGCATGATATATATACATAACGGGATAAAGATGGAAATTAAGCATTAAGTTACCGAAGCAATGAAATTTCACTATTTTGTACTATGAACAGGCTACTCATATGTTTTGATTAAAACTTGACGGTAATATTATATATATAGTCTTAACGTGATCTATAGATTTGGACCCGTTAACCGACAGAAGGTATTGTTCGTCCATTCTATTGCAGAAAAATGACAAATATTTCCGACAAGTTAATCAAGTCCCTAGAGAAATGCGAGCGTTATAACGTTATATGTAACTTCAACTGCGAATTGATAGCCAGTTTACTGAGATTACATACTTTTCCGAGGAGGCCTAACAAAATTATTTCTAATTTGAAATATATATTGGAATTGATTAACGTAACAAATGCAATATTAAAAATTTATGAAAGGAAATATCATTTTGATCAAAATATCAAATAAGAATACCGTGTGTATTTTATATACTCCTGTTTAACCAGTAAACACTTCCGTCTAATTATAACATTTTTATACGCATTACGACAAGAATGAGAATCTGATAGAATTAGATTATCTCGGTGTGTGTGTGTGCTTTATATCATATTACATACCGAGTACGATCATTACGCATTTGGGACTTGTTTATGCATAACCAACTTTAATGGTAATAGGTTACCAAATTTCGTATTCATAGGTAAACCAGAAGATATACATATAGAAGCATCGGATAATGTGTTTCTATACGACAAACGTTCAAACTCAGTCAACTTGAACTCGACAACAGCTCACGGGGCGTGAAAATTGGTCTTATTAAGTCAACGGCAGGTGCTAATGGCTTTGTTGTTTCATTTGTGTTAATGGACTTTATATTAGACGCAAAATGTAGGTTACACTACAGAGAAAACCAATTAGCTGTCTTAAAATGGCTGGAACTCAATTACAAATGAGATCGAGAATGTGTTGCCACTGCTGTAAAGGTCTATCTAAGTTAACCAATGACCAGGATAATAACATAACAACGTAACGTAAAAAACGTAAAAACGTAACAATATTTAATATTGACGACAGTATTTTACAGTACTTTCAAGAAATTTAGAAAAATCATCACATTCGCCATAATTTCAACGCAAAGTATACGAATGCGGCTATGAACATTAAACGGAAACATAAGTTGCGCATTTCACAGTACGTGATTGCTCAACGACAACCTATATCTGACTGAAATGGTTAGATTGAAATTGTTATCAGAATGCAACCAAGTAGATAATTAATGAAAAATCTAAAATATACGATGGAATAATAATTTTATTCTTGACTATCAAATTCAAATGATATTTTTCTTAAAATTAAGCAATCTCTTACACTTTTGGGCTACCACTAACTAGAAAGAGTAATGAAAACGCAAATTTATATATTTCTACCAACTAAACTTCAGGCGCGTCCTTCAATAGGTGATCGATTATTGAACATCACAAATGTGGATAACTATAGAATGTTTGGAAAAATTGTGAAATTATACATTTTCTACATTAACGATAAATCAAAACAAGGACACCACAGAAAGTCACTTTAATTGAACCTTCCCTATATTTATTTACAAAATATTGCTCTATCTACGTACCAAAACAAACAATAATAAAAATACCTTTATAAACCGATATTTCCACTGGAAAATATTATAACAATAAAATGAACTACAATACAATATGATACGACAACAGGCAACGAAAATATTTCCAAAGGTACTTCTAGTTTTGTCCTAACTTCTAATAAACCTGCAAGCTAAAGCTTCACTTCGTTCGGTCGCAGTTCTAGTGTTTTGACGCTCTCGTTTCGGTATCCGTATTACGTCGGCTTGTTTCGAGCAAACTAGGAGAGATAGATTGCCAAAAAAGGACACGACGAGTATACTTAATGCGGCCAAACAAAAATGCTTTTCAGAAGATTTCATGCATCACAATTTCGTTCGGGATATCTTTGAGTTAAGTTCATTGGATACAATAAGATTTGTTTTTGTTGGAATTAATAGTGAATCGATATTGCAAGTTCAAGAAGATTTTCATATATAAGGTTATGAATGTCGTAACCCAAGAACCGTGAACAATAATTTTTTTAAGTGTAAGATAAATAAAAGCTAAATTGCACATATATCCGTTTTAGATTAAAGCGTTTAGGGAGTTCGAATAATTTCGCAAAATTGGATTATAGCATAAATCTTTGATATCATAAGACTATTTCGATATGAAGAAAAATTAAATTTCCAGAGAGAAAGACGATATTAAACTATATACTATCTTAATAGCTTTACCATAAAATTGCAATTTTCCCATTTGATGCAAAATGCTTTTATAGATATCAACTTACTCAACTTGTTGTTATTGACCTTTGTTTGTGACACAATAGTATATAACAAATAAGACACCGCCTTTGACGTTTACTTTTCTGACGTCAGCAGCATTCTCAGTCACTAGAATTCACATATTATTTACGAAAATCGAAATAAAACCAGCGTCAAAACAGATATGAGTCGTCTCGATTTACGAAGAAATTATTGCCTCTGGCAAGATAGCGGTCAAGGTCACCAAGACTATTATAGAACTTGCCATTTCTCCCAAGCATATGCCGACAAAATAACGAATTCATAAACCTCGACATTCGCTTAACAAAAACTTCAAAAGCAAGAATAGTTAACTTTACGTTAAGATCTTGACAAAAATAATCCTAAAGCTCATTGATATTGTATTGAGACACAGATGCCGCTGGGCAACTTTGGAATAGTCGCATAACGTATACTTGGAAAGTTGTATTATTTTACATATTTTGAAATACGTGTCATTGTTTCAATCAGTTTTTAAAATAGACGAGTGATTTCCTGTCCTGTACGATTGATAAAATATTACGCAGTTTTACATTGATTATTTCAATACGTTTGCGCAAGTAAGTCTTATTTCCCGTTGTTGTAAAAATATGCAAACACATAGACACAATTTACTCCCACTGTATACGTTATTTGACACAAAAATATTTTAAACACAAATTTAGTGTAATGAATAAAACACCCAATCGCAAATCAAAGGTTAGTAAACTTGAATACCCTTCAGTTCGGCCGTCTTTCGATTTTTCACAGCCCAGGAATGAAAAATCCTCTCTCTATTAGATTTCTTTTAGCGCGGTCGGAATAATCTCACCCCACTAGGTAAGCACCAATGCTGCTATTTTCGGTCCCATTATTGCGATTTTACCCGAAACTAAATTGTTCCAGAGTAGTGGAAACATAAAAATTACTTTACTTTACAGACCTGTTACTTGCAATTTGCATGCAGTACTGGATGATCCCGCAGAATTAGTCGCCACACACTCAAATTCACCACTGTCTTCTGGATAGGCGGAACCAATTACCAGCGTGGATATTTCGCCTGTAAAAACAATGAGTAACGTTACGAGAGTAATGAAAGAACGGCTCAAGTTGATGATTCCCACAAGTAAACGGTCTGTTGAATGTGGTGCATAGACGTCGGACAATGGGTACGACATTCCACGATGATGTCATTGGCTGATCATTGAACCGAAACTGAACAAGCATAGCGCTACTCTGTATGAAACTCCACATCAACTTAAAATTCTTTTTTATAAAGAAAAACTTTGATTGATATATTTCCAACTTTATTGATATATTTTCAAAAACATTAAAATTTATACTAAACGACTGAGTGGTAACTGTAAAAATAAACGGCAGATCTTTTCAGAAGAAAACCTATTATAACTTATCAATTCGTTGCTAAAAATATATTTCTGTATAGAAAATATTTTTGGGTGGAAGAAATATGGGACCACTGCGGCACTTTCCAATGCAGGAAAATTTCTGATGAATATGATGAAATAGGAGCGATTTATAAGATAAAACTGTTGGGCTGCGACATAAATGTTGTATAGATATCGTTCTCGTACTCCATAACGAAAAGTTTGAAGTGAATGGATACCAATACATCATCAATAGCTAGACATATGACAAAATAATTTGATTGATCATTTTTGTTTGCCTTGTTAATACGCGGCCACACTAAAGTGAAATCTTCGAGAAAGATTTAAAAAGAATCGCGATACTATACATTAAGTTTGGCCCGAGAAAAATAAAGTAGGAGATACTTGATGTAAATGGAGCGTGAAATAAAAGACATCACAATTGTAAATTAAAATTGTCGTTTGTTTTAACGGTTGACAGAACAGTGTCGTCCATCGTCGTCAAGTGGTGTTAGTTTGTATACAACTGGAGTAGAATTGCCAAATATACGCGAGTAAATCTCTGACACAGAAAGTTGCATGGAACTAGGATACAATACAGAACGATACCAAATTATCAATTGGCACGGCTTAATCAATTCTTTCATACATAATAAAACCAGACGCATAGAATGAAAAGATATTAGGAATCTAAAACAAAATAAATACAGTGCCTTTCTTCAAAAAATTTGCAACCAAATCTATCATAAAATGTATTTTGTAGCACTTGGAAGCTAGGAATTTACTTACCAAACAACTCCGTTATATTTTTATCTTTGAAATGCTCGTACAATAAATACGGGAAGTGTAAAGTCGTGGGGTCGCCATTTACTTTGGTCCCCGACAAAGTTGGAGATATTGATCACAAAACCTATTTTATTGTCAGATTTTTAGATGTATTGCGATATAAAAACGATCCATTCGAACAAATTGGGTTATATACGAACAAATCACATTTACATCACCTGGTGAGCGCAATCGGATAACAAAATTTTTAACAAACGTTAATCAAATATTATTTTGATTTCGATTCTTAAAAGTTCAATAAATGGGAGTACTTCAAACAGCGAAGTGTTCGGTAACACTTTACTGGCCTCTAGTGTTAATATCGTGCAGTAATCTAAATTCCTCCAAACCCAAGGGAATTTCGGCTTAACCGGGAAGGAGAAACGACTAGAGGACAGCAAAATTAAAATACACTATTCAGTTTCGTCCATGTTTGGCAAATCTTTTAATATGAAATCGAAGGGAATTGTGACTAATGTAAGCAGCTTTGAGATAAATGATCAACAACCGGAAAATGAATCTTTCAAGGAAGCACGAAAAGTTTTGCAGTATACTTATATAAATTAAAATTGAACTGTTTCAAAAACTTGACCTCTAGATTGTTAAATCTGACAATTATTATTATTTTTTTTTTCGCTTAGATTAAAAGGGACACAAATAAAAAGAAGAAGTATTCTCCCACGTCATCTCGCAATGTATCGAATAACTGGAAAAACCGTACTCTTCGTACTAAATTGGTGTATGTATAGAGAATATTATGCTTGATGAAATATAAACTTACTTAACAACATTTCGCATTGCAAAATACCTACAATACACTAACAATACAAACAGCCGAAATTTGCTAACCGCAAGCGATATATAGAAAAATTAATGTTGATTTAATTGGTCTCACCTCTGTGAAGAATTCTGAAATCTGGAGAATCCTCAATTAGATCTCCCTCCCTCATCCATGTCACTTGAGCAGGTGGGTTAGCTTTCAAACGGCATTCGAGCACTGTACACTCGCCTTCTGAAACAGTGATATCCTTCAGCTCCTTGTAGAACTTGGGCGCCGAAGCACTGAAAAAAAAATGTATTAGCATGATGTTAGAAAAAAAAAACATATTCGTCTTTTAGTCCGACTTTATTAGCACAAGAACAACCTTTTCATTGTCTAAGCTTTAAGTCCAACAAAATTTATTCATATTTTCTGAAAATCAGGCCACCGAGAACGACACTATAAATTAGGCTTGGTTATATATATTTTTGTTATTGTCTTGGGTCCAGCTAATGCGAATATCTAATATAAAACATAATAGAACGCCATACTTCAGTTGTCAATATACTACCATTCGTACCTGAAAACCAGTAGACAAGGTCAAAGACCCGACGTATTAAACCGAACCGAATAAAGTTATATTACAATTTCACACTGCAAATGTTGTATATACTAATCTTACCTCATGTTGAAGGTTAGGTCCTCAACGAACTACCAAACAGCAAAGGTATTCCACTTTATCAATTTCTGGGCGTATCCAATAACTTAGAATTAACGAAGAAATTATAATTGAAATAATATGGCTGTCAGATCTTTTGTTATAATGATAATAAAAATAATGATAAGTAATTTAGATTCGAGTCATAATAAAATGTTTCGACCATCAAGATTCAAAATAATTCCAAAATTTGGTCAAGATAGATAATGAGAGTTATATTTGTTGAATTAAAGAAAACTACGACGAAAAGAATATCCATGACGCATGAAATTCCAGTTTAAAGAAAGCGAATAATTATCAGTCCGTCGCAATATATGAAAACAATTAAGAGATACGCTAAACTAAATGCGAAAAAGTTTCCTCGTGCATATAAGAAATAGCGATTTATGGCAAGGAGCAACTGAGAATAAGCAGACATAATCAATTACACAAATGATGCTATATTTTACTGATATCTTTACTTTCCTACAACACTGTTATACAATATACTCTGGAATATTCAAACATAAACGATTTTATTACAAGATTATACAGTCATATGTGAATCGCTAAATCACCAGAAATGTTTGAGAGATTCACAGATAATTGAGACGCATTCAGCAAAATCTCGCAATTTTATTCCAAAGTATATCATGCATAAAAACTAATAAAAGTCAATATCTTAGTCAAATAAACTGCTCCGCTAACTCCACACCCATTATATGTGCTTGTGCCGCAATGTAATTGCTACTGAAAATAGAACTGCGAATCGTCAAAGCGCAATGAATCTGCTCGCAGCTTACCCGCGAACAGTGCGTATCAGAAAGATATGACAGCTGCAATTTGCGTGTTACGTATTGGCTACTGTGACGCTATATCGCTCTTACATTCGAGTTACGGCAAGCCACAGCTGTTATTCTTGAAGTACGACTCTCGCGCATTCGTTAACTTCAGACGACACGACTCCGCAACATGAAGATGAGGAAATTTAACCAACTTTTCCAAGTAATTGCTGTTAATTCAAGTCCACCCATCTAAATTCAATCCGTTTTTCTACTCAGATGCATTACGCTGTGATTTTCTAATACCTCTGACTTACCTTGGAAGGTGAAGTCACTGAACTTGTTACTTCGAAATTATTACACAGCCATAGTTACAATTGAATTGCAGAGAATAGCTGATATTTCCATGCTCGAATTGGTAATTAGGATGACAAAATAGCTAAACCGGTCGAGGTGAGTTTTGTTGTGGATTTGACCGAATGCTCCCCATAGGAAGGTGTTCTCACGATCTGATCTAATTGTTAAGTAAGTCGTCAACATAGTGGATTAAATAACGATGACATCAAACGATTCGAAGGCAAAGCATAATACTGCTCAAATGTTTGTTACGCGCACGTACCGAGTCATGTTCTCGTTTGCATTTTACACGATGGCCTTCAGATGCAGACGAAAGATTAATTAGATACCTTTCGGTCATCCGACAATTCACCACCCCAGACAGGAATTAGTTTCGCAAACATAGCTTCACACTTCTGCTACGCTACACGAGCCCCACAAATACACCGACGCACAAACTATGTAAAATCAGACGGTTGAGGAGTTTTCTATTCCTCATTTCTATCATATATGAATACCTCCAAAATTCCTCATAACAGAATATGAAACAACTTAAACGCTGATTTTTGTACACGTGTTTACTTTTGAATCCAAAAAACAGTAACAAAACTGACACCATTCATCCAAGGAATTTACTTCAGAAACAATGTTCAGGAAACAAGTGAAAATTCTTTATCAGAATCAAAGATAGCTAGCATTTGCCAACCAAATGCACATTCTCATTCAAGAGCAGAAAATAAAGTCTTTAATTTTCGAGTTTTTCTTATGTAATTGCCCACCACTTCGCAGGCGCCACTCTCGGTTAAGTGAATCACCAAAATGTTCATTTCCGATCCTTTCTCGTTGTTGTGTTGGCCGGAGGAACGCGACAAACCAGGTAAGGATTCACGAGTTTATTGCAAATGTTGCACGTTTGCTTGATGTAAACCTGAACATTTTATATAAATTTTGAATGCAATATGATAAAATGCATGATGATTGTACAACAAAATCTGAATCTACCCCTCTCATAAACATGCGTTTTAGAATTCTACAACTTCACATAAGCATACACATACACCGTGACGCTCACACAATCGCCTCCTTGTCACACACTCATTATTTTATAACTTCACTGAACACAAACATACACATTACCTTGCACGTGTGGCGCACACACCATACACTCCGACTCGACCATCCACGTAAACATCGACGACAGAAGAATTGTCCGTATTTTCTTTCCAGTCCCTGTTCGGACCTTGGTTGATTTAATACTACCACCACCGAGTCTTCGTCCCCACTCGACGCATCTTTGGACTTGAGAACTACCTGGTGAAAGACATTTTAAAATTTGCGGGAGAATTTTTTTTACGATAAGCATGAGTCCTTACGCCTGAAAAGATGTCGAAAATACGTCAAGAATGAAAGAGAAGTATCCCAGAAGCATGTTAATTGAAAGATCACAAAACTGTCATACAATAGGTATAATATTGTATTATTGTTATGCTCTAATGACTTTTCATGCGTGCCTTATTTTCTTTATGTATGTTGTGGCGCATGAATACCTTGTTCACAATGCGTCTTCGTTTCGCTGTTCTAGGGGTAACACGTAAATTTGACGCTGTGCTGTGTTAAGAAGTAAATGTGAATACTTGAATATATGAGCTGATTGTGGGTGTGGATGGTTGGGAAGTAAGGTGCCTCAATAATAATAATTATAGTTGCCACCAACAAGGAGAACTATAACATGGTGTCAGAAGTGGGATTCCAACCCACGCCTCCATTCAAACAAAATTCATACTCTAATTAGCTGACCTGTCTTTCCGTTTTATCCAAAGATTTGTCATCATTATCCGCGTCGACAACGACGACACTGCTTTCTTCATCCTAAACATAACGAATAGTTACCAATAGAATGTTACTACAGGAGTATTCATGGCAACATTTTATAGTCTCAAACAGATTTACTCCTGCTTACGTACATGCGTAGTAAGCGGTTTTTCCAAATCCTCCTTATTATCTTCAGATTTTTTGTCTGGGTCCAAATTTTCCTGTGTTTGATTTTCTTTTGATTGGAGTTCGTCTTTACTGGCTTTTGAAATTGTTTTCAGGGTAACTGTATTGAGAGATCACTCGAATTCATCAATATATGCAAAAATTGTATAAATTAAGCTATAGATATGATAAAGAAATGAATCAATGAATCAAAAAATAAGACTTTTTTCACATTCATTCTTGTGGTATATCTTTGCACTTGATTATGTCCGCATACGATCTAATAAATATCTAATCTTTTTCCACGAACTCGTTGAATGACTAAGCCGCCCACAAGCTTGAAATGAGTTACGTTTGAATACAGTGACACATTTACTTTCATATGCAGTATTTTGTATAGAGACAAAACATAAAAGTCAGATGGATTGTTACCTTCAATTGTGGTATCTTTGGGTTGGTAAACTGGTCGATTTTGATTTGAGCGTGAAGTATTCAGATCGATGTTGGACTGTATGAAACGAATATAGGCAATTATTTGAATTTCAGAATATATTTGCAATTTCATATTTGACATATCTGGCCTATGTTGGATTTTTAAAATGAAATATTTTCTCATTATATTAATTTGGAAACTCTGCATTATTTTATTTTTACAAATTATAGTGAAATATTTTTAATCGATAAGTCATCGTGTTGATTCATCGTTTGAAGAATACAGTGAAATATTTTACCTTCAGTGGCATATGTTTTGTAAGTATCGGAATCAAAGAAGTCTTTGTGTTAGTTGGTTGACGACCTTGATGTTGTGTTGGATGTGTTTGTAGCGGTGGTGGAGGATGGCCCGAAAGATGTGGTGGCGGAGGTGGATGTGGCGGCTGCTGCAATCTTGGTTGAATCCGAACTCCGGGCGCCGTGAACGACGCTTGAAAAGTATGGCATAAGCAATTAGTTTGTAATTATTTGTAACAGTTAAATTGCAAATATTTAGGTGTCACTTTCTACTGGCTGTTGTATTTTTATTTAAAACCGTGATTAAGCTGATTTTTGATTAATGTAAGATGATGCATCGACTTATCTAACGCTTTATCTTAATCGGATGTTAATTCTCAATGACAGTGCCACTAGTGACTAAATTGTAATCCTCCATAGCAAGCATGAATTCTGGCATGGAAAAGAATATAATCATACCGCTTCTCTTCAAATCTGGCTGTCTTGTTGAAAATCTTCTATTTCCAGCCAAGTCATATCGTATATCAGGTACTTGAATTCCTGATATAAAAAAAACAGTATTAGCAACGTTACAGAAACCAGGATATTGGTTGTCGAAGGACGTTTGCCTTGTTTGTTTGAAAACAAATCACATTTTAAAATCTCAAAACACACGTACTTAATTTCAAATTTATTCCCAAGTGAGAATGAATCGTAAAGTCAGTCAAATGCTAATGAGGGCTTCTCTGATTCAATGCTGATATTTTTCATAATACCTGTTAGAAAACGTCTTAAAATCAAACTATATTTCGCCAAATTTAAAAGCTTTCAGAGAAAAATATTCCGTAAATAGTCTATTAAGTTGTTGTATAGATCATATGTGATATATCACTCGCTAAAAGTCAAGATTTATAGCTGAAAAAATAACTGTTCTCGATAATAAAAAGAAGAGTCTGCGATGAACAAATATATCACATCAAGGTCAGTATATACCGTATTTCCCGGCGAATAAGTTGCTTTTCTAGATCCAAATTTTTGGCCTGATTTTGAAGGGGGCCGTCTTATTAGGCGAGTATGATAATTTTCATTTTTTTTTGGTGTCTTCTTATTATGCATTAGGTAATTTGAGATTCCGATGTTGATGCGATTTTACTACCCCGACTTATTGGCAGGTCATATTCAAAATCCCATTTTTTCAGGCTTGAAAACGGGCCTCGTCTCAAACTTATTCGCCGGGAAATACGGCACATCATAATTTTATAGCAGTATAAATTTATGATTACATTTAAATATCCAGTGTGGTAGAATCAAATTTTCAAAAGGGAGGTATTGAAGATGTTGAGATCTGGTCACTCTGGAGACCACCTACCCACGAGGACAATTATATCATCCAGCACAGTATGGACGTAATAAGTCCATTTGTATAAGAAAATACCAAACCATCTGCGAGCATTTATTCCTGGAATGTGGTCAGAAATTTCACACGCACAAAGAGCTTTTACGTGTCCGCATTTTTTGGGGTGTTGCTGAATTACATTTGCGTTGCGCTACCTTACCTTTTTCCGCCGTGCTGATTTGAATATGGCCCGTGCTTTTGCGACAAAGTTGCAAGTTAGGGTTGACTTGTCTTAGCAGATGAATTAGATGGGCTCTTCGAAGTGCCTCGGCCCTAAGTTCAGGAGTAAGAGACTGCCAAAGGAAATGAGGTGAGTTCCGAACAACTGGAGCGTCCAAATTCATAAATATACTGTCTTCATGGGTCATAATGGATCTCTGTTGCGGAAAGGAAGCGTTGAGAAGTTGATCTAAAACACACAAGTTACGATGCCAGTTAATGTGAAACATCATACTCTCAGTCTGCGGCATTTATTAAAGCGTTGAATATTTCCAAGTATAGTCAACGCTTAAAACCCTACATGTGCCTAATAGTGAATCATTTCAATTCATAAATTTAATTAGAAAGCAAATCTATGTTCATAAGAAAGCACCGTACTACAGAAATCTGATATTGACAATGCTTTATTTTGAATACTGACCTTTATACTTTGGAGTTTGTTGTGTAGACAGTCGGAAAACAGATTTAGCAGTCATTTTACAAAGATGAAAGCCTCTTTCAAAATGAAGCAAACGTATTTAGATTAGTGAACATCCTATACCTTAGGCCTTGTTCTGAAAGACAACAAAATTCGTTATTTTGGGGTAGTATCGCCAAGCATGACGACCGAGAAACAGCTCGAATCCACTGTGGTATAAAACGCATGCGAATACAAAAACGGAAGTCAGGGTAACGACGATATTTCGTGGTACCAGTTCAAAACAAAGCACCGATTTCTCTATCAGCGTACACCCGCGTTGTTCCTACTAAAAGTCGCTTCCAACTATAATTACCTATCAACAGTAGTGATTGATTCGTTGATTGTCAACAAATCTCCACATTTGGAGTTATCATTGGCCCTTGTTTTGTTCAACCTAAAATTAAGATGATGATAAACTATGGCTGTGGTGCACTTCTGTCCGAACGAAGGGCTCAGTGGCGGTGTTGGCGAAATAATGATATAGTTATAGTTCTATAAAATCCAATGAAAAAATATATATTCATAGTTTAGAAGCGAAAAATATACTTGCAACAAATCGATTTCGATTTCTCTTATTCCTTGTTACTAGGTCCAATAACAGGGCAGTTTGATCAGGACAACCTGGGTTTTCTTTGTCAAAAATATCCGTCGCATCTTTAACAAGTCATTCTTAGAAAACTATCTAATTTTACATTGGGTAGCGGAATGCCCAATATGATACTTGCTTGCCACGAAAGAATGCCATTATAATCAAGGTAGCATGCGGAGAACCGCATTCTTACCACTATTTTCGGTACAAAGGGACATTTTGACGTTGAATAACTAAATCAAAAAGCTCTCAAACTTGGAAAAAGTATAATCATATATATAGTATCCAGACATGTGTTATGAATTGTTGACCGTCGTGTCAGTTTAATTATATTCCATTTTTGTAAAACTATAAAAGTAAACCAAAATTGTTTTTGAACTTTTTTTTTAGAATTTCGAATTTTTTGGACAATTTTTTTGCGAATGTCTGACCCATTATTGATGTTTTCTATATACATTTTTGTGCTCATCAATTGAGCAAACCTATTCCGCTCATTTATGTCTCACATTCCAGCCTTTTTGATATTTTCCAGAAGGTCTAGATAAATACTTGAATACAAATGTTTGCCCGAGTTGTTTGCACGGTTACGTGGCAAACCTTTCTCTGCAGAGAATTGTAGTCACTACTCTAGATACTATTCGTTATTTTAAATTCATTAGAATGATGAGATTGATTCGTATTTGACTATAAATAAAGTTAAACCAAGGTTTTTGATAGTACCGCACAGACTATTCATCGAAATCTTTTAATGGTAAGCTGTGATTTCTGGGAAGACAGCTCAGCGACATTAGGTTGAGCGAGAATATCTTAATTGAGTTTGAAATAAATATATTTAAATAAAATTCTATTAGAATAACAATGTTTTCAATGAATTTGTCCGTAAGGAGTATGTTTATTCAGGTGCATATAAAATTTTAGGACTTCTAAATTCTAATAGGTTCCGATGAAAATGATGATATGGTTTTTACTTTAACAAGTTATAAATACTATATTTAAATAGAGCATTTTCTGATTAGAAAAATATGTGACAAGTAATTTTTGATTAAATATATTACAGTTGGCTTAAAAACAAAATTTGTTGCAGTACAATACATTAATGTAGCTGGAATTTTCGCGAGTTAATGACTTTTTAAATTTATATCGTTTAATGAGTTTTATAGCTATAAAAATACCAAGCATGAGTCATTACATTTTGAATAATCTCACACTTCATTTTTTGATTGTTGGGTCAAGATTACTACATTTTACATAAATTACTTTGTTGTAACTTCTGTATTGAATCACGTTTTTGACTAAAGCTAAAAGCCACAGCAAGAGACTCGAGTCGACCCCGTTTCCGTCCGACTCCTAACTGACAAGAATTAAACTTTGGAAATGACAACGAATCTACAATCCATGTAAAATCTTTAAATCTGCAAAGCGTCATATTGTTGTTTTGGATGGTTCAGGGCTTCCACCAAAAAGCCTGTTTCGAAAATGACTCTTCGTTTTTATTCATTGTATTTTGGTATTACAACAAACTGCATATTTTCAGCAAATATGTTTCCGTGTTGTTCGGTTGCTCAAACTACAAAACAGGATTTTTCAAAACCTCATCAAACGACGCCAGGTACAGGCGGCCACTGGTGTCAACTTATTTCGAAGTTATACTAGTGCGCAATTCTATTTATCTCGTTTTGTTCGTTTGTAGGAAGAATTGATATTAAACCGAAAAACGTCGGGTTATCAGTTAATCGCTCACGAATAGTGAAAAATAGCGTTGCAAAGACGTACGAGTTTGTATCTCACTTCAAATGCCGAATAAAATATACGCCTATGCGTTGAATTTCTGAATGGTTTTAATCGGAACTATTCTCATTGGGGTGCTCCAGAAGTATGCGCACCAAGATGTCACACAACCTGAATCCTGACAGGTACACACAAACTATGTTCAGGTTGTGCGCCATCTTGGTGCGCATACTTCTGCAGTTCCCTCACTGCACCACCGCAGTTGTACCAATCGGGTTGGTATATCCGGATCACCGTCTTGACATAAGTCATTTATTGCGTATATATATATATATATATATATATATTAGAAATGGTCAGAGTATTATTAGAATGCATGAAGTGCACATGTATTGGGATAATTTTGCTGAATCCTTGTTGTTGGGGTGATTGTTGTTTTGGGGACAATCGCTCTTCTCTGCATCTTCGATTTCATATATATATTTATTTCAAGAATCTGAAGAAGGAAGAAGTCGCTAGAATGTTATTCATTTCTTTTATGGGACCCGATATTTCACCCAAAATCTTGATGTTTCATTTTAATTAAAGGAGAGCCCTTTTCATTTCGTTTTGCTCGACCACATCCTTACTGCCTGGCCACGTCCTGTAAGATAGCATCTGTATAATTGACAGTTGCTTCGCAAGAAGGGCATTGAATTTGGGAATTTGCTTATTCCGGCTTGTCCACGTAGGCGGGCGCCAAAAGATCGGAAGTCTCATCTCTGTCCTGTCGCATGTTATGCAATGCCACTCTTGCAACCATTGTGTTTTCTTCGCGGGCTGCCAGTCGTTTTATGGCAGCAATAACGTCCTTTTCTGATTTACCTGCCAGACTGCCGCCCGCTGCCTGCGTGATGTTTTTTCGAAGGGCTTCGTCGCAGCATTCCAATAGCTGCATTACTCTATCGCTACCCTCTATTTTCGTTGCGTCTACATATTCCTTCCATCTCGTTTCAAAGTATGCCCATTCCTCTGATGTTCCAGCCATGGTGATTGTTGGCCTACGCACTTTTGCAACCGGCGATGAGTTGTGCTGTTATCAAGGCAGCCACGATGGCATCGCTTTGGTCTGGTGTTTGGTATGCACAGCTTTCGATGGGGCAACGGACGACGGGCATGATGAATGCAAGCACTGGTACGAGTAAATAGTCACGTTAGCCAAATGTCGATAACTAGATATTAAGCGAGAGTTCCGTCATAGACAGGATTGACAGTCCATTTGTTACACTTTTATTAGTAAACAATGACGGAACTCAATAATAACTGAAATGAAATAAAGAACAAGAGTTAACATTAAATCACACACTACACAGTATACATAAATATTCACTACATATGATTAAGCCGTCTTGGCGACTCTCCTCTCCTCTGGGATAAATACGTAATTCATAGCTGTGTAAAGTACTATTACTAAGCCGTTTAATGCTAAAAAAAATCAAAAATGTTCTAGCTCGTTGCAGCAATAACTCGTAAGAGGACACGGTCTTCTTTTTGCCGTTTGGGACTGAGCGTGCTTGATGGAATGGGGATTGCGTGTGGTGGGTCTCCCTGGTGGCGTATACGTTCAAGGGTTGCAGATCCACTGTGCGACGTGGTTTTCCATTTTTTTTTTGCACAGACTACCATTCGGTGGCACCAAGTGACTGGGTGGCCAATAGGAACTGTTTCTATCACGCCAAGTCTGACATCCCGGTCGAGTCCAGCCTTCACTTCGTCCTGCCAGTGCAATGGGACCGGTACATGGGTGTGATGAGCAACTGGGTTGGCGTCTGATTTGATCGTCAGTTTCATTGGCGGCCCTTCTAGAATAGGCAAAGGCTGGTGTTCACACGTATTAAACGTGCTGGCTCGGTAGTGTTCAATGAGAAAGTCCTTAAGCTGTGCGAGGTTGTTTGTTGTGGCTGGAACTGGGACTTAGGTGGGCAACGTTGGAGGTAGTTGGCGCGAGGACAATCACATTGCTTTTGAGTCTGGGCGCTTTGTTACACTTAGTAAACAATGACGGAACTCAATAATAACTGAAATGAAATATAGAACAAGAGTTAACATTAAATCACACACTGCACAGTCTACATAAATATTCACTACATACCGTATGATTAAGCGGTCTTGGGGACTCTCCTCCGCGATAACTACGTAATTCATAGCTATGTAAAGTACTATTACTAAGCCGTTTAATGCTGAAAAAATCAAAAATGTACTAGCTCGTTGCAGCAATAACTCGTAAGAGGACGTGGTGATACCGATGTGAATGTTGTCTATAGATAGATACAACACACGATTAAGTCGTAGTTTGTAGGATACAACGTTGACTTAACGTGAGAACGTGTTGTCGTTTCAATGTGACTCGTATTTATACATACAGTTATACTCTCGTAACAATGATTTTGGCCTGTGTTAAAACCACGAGCCAGCCAGAAAAACAGCCCAAAAGTTATCTCCTTTTGTTGGTACTTTCCGTGTTACTAAAAATAGAATCACGCAACGATAGCACGTGATTGTTTTCAGCCAATCATAATTCGGTTTAGAGGTGGAACCCCACGGGAAGATATAGGGAAGAGGTCTCGGTACTGCCTTGGGTAGTCGACCTGGTGTTGCTTTCAAAAATGGACTGGGTAAGCAGGTAAGCGGCTGTAGACGCAAATAGACATTGCGTTTACAGTTTTTACTCGACCTGTTTTCGCTTAAACGACGGTATTGGTACTAGACTATTTGTTCATCGTCGTTCAACTAGACTGCAAAAAATATTTCAAACTTTTAAATACTGAAATATGAATCCCGCATCAACTGTCAGACTGTGAAGTGCTAGAATTCGGATACCGGTACGTAATCTTTTCTGACAGTTTTCGGACAACACTTCTGTTGTTATGATTCTTAAATATTTATTTTTGCGCTGAAGGATAAAATGTTTTTATCATATTACTGTACGTATTATGGCATGGTACATTGGTAGCAGGCCACAACCTCTCTGAGGTCAGAAGTTGACTAGACTGCCAGAATACTGAAATAGTCAGATAGCAGGATACCGGTAGTATGTCTGTATGTAGTAGGGGTCTTCTATACTGCTATCTGACTCTATTTGTATTCAGTAAAGATCCATGAATTCAATGTTCAGAATATGCCAACACTTTTCTGTAGTGCTGTAATGAATATTAATAAAATTAGCTTATGTTTATTAACAGAGAAAGTTTTTTTTTTGCATATTTTCTGGTTCCTTTGCTTAGAACTTGAACACACATCATTGCTCCAGTGCTCAGTGGCTCAAAATTTAGCAAAACAACTTAATGTTGCGAGATTTTGACAATGAGTTATTTCTGTATTTGTATCATTGCAATTTAAAGAATTATTTCAGTCTTAGGCACAACTTTTGTGAGAATCCCCTATGTCATAATCATTAGATTGTATGAAGAGATAAGTTGGGGCAATTCATGCGGCAATGAAAAAATCAATTACAAGGTTATAGTGTGTTTTAGGTTATTGTGTGCGAGGTTATCTCTCTGTCTGTGTATTTTTTCCAAGTTATGTTGAAATTTCATGAAATTTGGCCCGAGGGCCAAATGCTAGCTTGTGCGAAGTGAACAACACATGCCATAAGATTAATGACCAAAATTTTTGCCTGCAACTACTATAAAGCCTATGTTGAATAAATGGACTGCCAGCGATTTCACTCAGGTATTTGTATACGGTAATCTGGCCCTCCTGTATTGAAGGTTGCATACCCCTGCTGTATCTGATTGATTGTTGAGATGATAAGATTTCCTGTAAACATCAAGCAAACAATTTTAGCTAATTTTAGCTACGGTAATTGTTGGAATGAGTAGTACATTTTTGATGTTCTGTAAGAAAATACAGGTATGCATAGTTAAAAGGATTCAAGAGTTTGCAACTATCTTGTTGTGATACAAAAATGAAGAATGTCTGCTTAAACAAATTATTGATTGGATCAATATTATAAAGAACATCAGATATTTTGCATGTCAAATTATTCTTATATTTATAAGCTGTCCTCTACAAACAATGACACACGTCAGATTTATCCATATTGTTCATGATGTCACTGTAGTTCCTTTTCAACTATTATTGTTTATCTCTGGGAAATTTCTGTGTGAAATTTCACAATGTAAATGTGACCAGTTCATATATTATGTTAGCGCATAGGGTTTCAGATGAGTCCATTTTTGTGTCATAATATGTAGACTTATATAATAAAGAAGATATGTTTGTTCATCAAAATTAAATAATCCTAGCTTTGAAGATATAAATTTAAAAACTATTCAGAATATGTGAAATTATAGTGTTATTACTTATTTGTTCATATATATTTATCTTTGCAGACTTTGGAAAAATGTATCGAATAATTATATCGTATAACATTTATTTTCGTAAGATGTATTTTTAAATTTTGCAATATTTTTTAGAAAAATTTTCATAATCAAAATTTTTCATGTTGGCAATTTGACATCATGCTCATGACTCAATGTGTAGTGTTTAAGTGTAGGATCAGACTTTACAGCTGAATATGAAATGTTTGCCACTCTATATATTTTTTTTGCCATGGACTTTCATCATATTTGTTAAATTTATAGGTACTCCTGAAGTATGCGCACCAAGTTGTCGCATAACCTGAACCTTAACCTGGTACACACCTGAGTTCAGGTTGTGGGCCATCTTGGTACGCATACTTAAGGAGGTCCAATTTATATTTATATACCGTATGTATTTGTTTAAACTAATTAGGTGGCGGACAGAATGCTATAACGTCAAACTATATAAACATAGACATTCCATTCTATAGCCATATGGAGAAGTTATTATTGATCACATTTATATATATATAACCTTTTTCTGGTATCACATTTTCTTTCCCCTGGTGAACCATTCTTTTATTTTTCAGAAAAAAATGAGTAAAAATATGGCAGTCACCTGAAAATATGATGTCATACTTTCTGTTCAATAAAGAGTGCTTCAATAGTATTTCATGACTTATTTATTATTACTTTTTCTTTTTGGGACAAATATACTTGTAGACATTGTGATTACCTCAATACCATAGGAGATTATCAGGCTATTTTTATGACAGAATGAATGATAGAAGCATAGAATGGTATGACCGAAGAGATAGCGATTTTTTTAAACTGCTTTCAGCAATTTATCCTAAACTTAAATTTGTTAACTTTAGAGTACATCATGAATTCGAATTAAAAAATGGGGCTTTAGAATACTAATTATTCAGATAGGGTAATGATTATATTCAATATTCAAGTATCTGGTAGTTTGCTCAAAGGTTTTTCAGAAACCCCCATCTTGAAGTAAAATATAAATAGATGAATTTTCAGCAATCCTAAATTTCTACCTTTATAGATCCCATATTATTTCTAACTGTTTTTCAGGCTTCCTATCTTAAAAAATTTGATGCCTCTGGCATCGTATTTTTCACAATCATGACAAACCGTCTGAAACTTTTGTATCAGTGCGTTTTGTAAATTAAAATTCTGCGTCCTAATTTTCGCCAGTTTTTGGAGAGATATTATTTCATTTTGAAGACCTGAAAAATTTTCGCCTAGTTATGTATTCTTGTTTAAATTTTTTTATATATCTTCATAAATATTACAGCATATAGGGTACCTGATTTAAGATGATAAATAGAATGTATTATATTATAACTATTAATCTGTTATATTAGCTAATAAATGTTTAAATATAATATATATATATAGAAAATAAATATATTAAAAAACTAGTGTTTGAATTCCAAGTTTTCATTGCGGCGTAATTGTGTCAATTTTCGAAAAATTGTCAATCTGAATCTATTGCATAATTTATTTCATTTAAACTTGTGTCCTGAATATGGTGACCGTCTGCGTATATCCACGGGTTCAATCTATATGCGGGTGCTATAACCCATGGGTTAGGGTTAGTATGGGTTTAACTATCCGTGAAACAAAAAAAATTCCATAGGTGCAATAGCATACAGGTGCAATTGTCATGGGTTCAAATGTACATTGGTTCAAATGTAATGGAACCCCTGAATATATATGAATATTTATACATTTCAGTGATAAGACAATTTCTTTGAGATTTAGAATTTATTTAGATTGTTTCTGAATATGTATCTCCGTTATTATTATAATTTAAAAATGAATGCTTTTTTATTGCTTGAAGTATTACCATGAAGTATTGAAATGCACTAACAAATATCGCCGAAATAAAAACATATCAAGTGTAGAGAGTATACTTTATTAGTAGTGGGTGAAATAAACATTTTTTTAAAATATCTTGAAGTAATATTTACTGGTACATAAACTTTTCTTTATTTGATGTAAGTTCTTCAATTTGGAAAAAACATCTCTATAATTTTGAACTCAAGAGGTATATAGATATTGGATATATACCAGTTTTGAATTCATTTATTAACGTTTCCTTTGAGTATGACGCTATATGTATATGGACATTTTTAATAGAATGAGGAAGTGCTGTAATTTGTTTAGTGTTCAATCGAAACCAATGAAATGACTCTTGCTCTACTTGTATACCATATCTCACTTGGTGATAAGTCTATACATTCTCCTCATTAGATGCCTTTATTTGAATGTGGTTGTTCCTAAGGTGCAACACCTAAGTATCCACCATTTTGCATATTGTACTATTTTACCTACCATAACTATATTCAGTAAATTATAATCCTTGATTTTTCAACAGAACAATATTATTGTAAAGTAAATATATCGGTGGTCACTACGTTAGGATAATTACAATTATTATTACAATAATCCTATAAAATATTTTGTGGAAATTATACGAAAGAAAGTTATTCTTATTAGATGTATCACTCTCCTCAACGAACACTACCTTTTCAACAAAAGTACGAAAATACAATAAATATGTATCCGGATGAGGTATGTGAATCTATAAGAGTATTTAATATCTTCCGATATTTTCAAAACCATAACAATAGTGAAGTAGTTATCAAAGATTTAAACTTGCTTAAAAATGATCCTGCGTCCGAGGATACAGATGGACCATAAGCAACATATTTATTTGACATTAATGAACAAAAATAAAAAGTTTGTTATACATAAAAAATATAACCATGTCAATATGAAGCTGTTCAAACTTGGAACAAAAACTATTTTCCCAATAGCATTTATCTAGATTTATAAAAAAAAATTGTCATTCCATGTGAGAACTTTGAAATTGTGTGTCATGCGGATTTTAGCTTCATCTCTTATACCAGTAGTTTGAATTAAAATACTATTGGTGATATCATGATAAATTTGCTCAGAAATTGCCTCACTCAGTTTACTTTACTGGTCAAATAGTAAGTTAATGATTTATCAAAGCGTTGCTTTTCTTCTTTCAGAGTCAGGAACCGTTTCTTGACATTATCGAACACCCAAAAGCGAGAGGGTTCAGATTCCGGTATTCTTGTGAGGGACCATCCCACGGTGGCATACCCGGGGCTAGTAGTGATAAAAACAAGAAAACATATCCTGCAGTTCAGGTATTTTTAATGCCATAGCTACAGTCAATAAATCCAATGTTATAAATTGTGTGGGTGTTTGTTGGTATGTATAAGGAATTTAGTTTGTAAACAAAATATCTGAAAAATTTCACTACCTAATAAAATCATGAATAATGTCAAATATACTTGTATTTTATGATTATGATCAGAATATATAATTTTAAAATATGTGCAAATTCGTGATATATAAGTTTCAGATTATTGTGTGTCATTTGATATAAACATTTCCATTTTAATGTCGGTGCTATTTGATGGCCCAACAGCTAAGCTTATACTATCTATTTATTTATAATTGGATTTTTTTCATTTTTTAATTGAATTCCTAACATTATCAGATAAGAAATCACTCAGGATATGCAAGAATTGTTGTTCAACTTGTTACAAATGAAGAGAACCCACGACTTCATCCTCACTCTTTGGTTGGAAAACAATGTCAGAATGGCATCTGTACAGTTCAGTGTGGACCCAAAGACATGACTGCCACGTAAGTTTCTCTCTTATTTCTCTTTCACTCATTTTTTCTTTCCAGACAGAAGAGCTTTCTCTCTTTTTTCCCTTCCTTCTCTCTTACATATTTGAAGGGGATTTTTCTAGGTGTAATAAAATGATTTCGAAACATGGCGTAATACATGACAGGCCGACAGGGTATAAATATCAGAAGTGCTGTTTTGACAAGCATTGTTCAATTTGGATATCCTAATAAAATCATAGGAATTCATTGCTTATAATTGAGCCTTGGATTCAAAATAATCATAGTCTTAGGCAAGATCATATTTGAACACACCAAGTTAAAATTTAAGACTCGAGTTACAGTTACAATGAGGCAAATGCATACAATAAAAAGAAGTATGTTCGAAGTATTCAAATCATGAATCATTTTGGCCAAAGACCAGAATTATAATAAGCATTTCACAACGTTCTACAGTACTTCGTCATGTCATTTGTCACAAATAATATAAATGCAAAAATTCAATAGGCCTAGCCTATATTTGCTATCAAGTTGTTGTAACTAAATAAGAATATAATTTGATTTATCTTTTTGCGATAAATATTTTAAAGATAAATTATGTAAATTGCCATATTTGGATATTTGTTTTCTAAATGCTGACGAAATATCTTTACCACACCGTATGCTGTGCTGATAGACTGGGGTTCAATTTGAATTGAAATGTTGTTTAATTTATACATTTCATTATAAAATCTTCTTTCTATTTCAATACTTTAAATTTAGCATTTGCTCAAATGAATATATAGATTTTTGCCTCAATTATCGATTTTTTTGTTTAATCTTCTTTTCTATTTATATAGAATCAATTATTAACAGTAGAATTTTGATTTTATGACATCCTCAATATCACCAATTAAAATTGATTTTTATATTAAAAAAATTTGCATTTTTATGATTCAGATTTCCCAATCTTGGGATACAACATGTCACGAAAAAAAATGTAGCAAAAATTCTTGAAGAACGATACTTGGCTGCCGAAATGCAGCTCTCGTCCCTCAATGAAGGATTGACCGCGGACATTCAAAATGCTATAAAGGGTACGATCTCCTTCGATTCATTTTACCTTAAATGGCTGTTGATAACATCGAAATTGTTCATTTATACCTTGCCTGTTATTAGAATCAGGGACATCAGAACAGCTTAATTATTTAGTTCAAATGCTCAATGCTTCATGCCAGTTGTGTCTGATTGCCGCTTGCATTTCTCATTGATTATGAGAAATCAATGTTTGAAATCAATCATGATAATATCTTAATTCGCTCATATCTGTGTATAAAAATAACTTGAGCACTGACATGGTGGGAATTCCCATTTCTTGATAAATAATTGATAAATTATAAATTTTTATACATATATATATGAAAAATTGATAAATTGTCCCCTGCTGAAAAGAGTATTTTCTGCATTGCAGATATCTAATGAAAGTTCTGATATTACTTTTGGTATAATTTCAAATATTTGGCAATGAGTTAAAATATCTTCAACTTTTATTTAGATGAAGACAAACAACGCATCAGGTCTAAAGCATCTGCAGAGGCGAAGTCCATTGACCTCTCAGTCGTGAGACTCATGTTCATTGCCTACCTGCCTGATAGCAATGGAGCTTTTACTTTGATGTTGAAACCAGTCATTTCTGATGCCATTTTTGACAGCAGTGAGTTCTTGTTCTGCGTTTTAATTATATTTGACCATGAATTTGAATTTGATTTTATTAAACATAATTTGAAACAGTTGATCAAAATTGATCATTTTTTTTTTATATTTGTATATTTGATAAATTACTGATGTCAAGTTTTGTGGATTCACAACATTAAGGTTTTCTTATGAAGTGAATCCAGTTCGCATATTTGTAATCTAACTTAATTAATTACCAATTTAGGTAGGTATAACCATATTATGATCCACTGTTCTAAATCGAATCTAAAATAATATTTTTCAATAATAATATATTATATATTGGGCCATGTTTCACAAAAAACACACGGAAGTTGATGTATATTTAATAAGCAATGCAGGAAAAATTATATACAATTTGAAAAATATAGATAAGGCTTTCTTTTTCAAATAGGGAGATTTGAATTGCTCAAATGCTAATTTTTCACCCAAAATTCTAGAAATAAGAATTTTACTGACAAGCATTGTTCAGACTAAATCCTTTGCTTACCCAAGCTTAAACTTATGGACTTTTTGTTCAGAGTCACCCAATGCAGCGACATTGAAAATTTGTCGTATGGATAAAACTCATGGTGCGGCAAGTGGAATGGATGAGATTTACTTGTTATGTGACAAGGTTCAGAAAGGTCAGTTTTTCAAATACTACTTAAACTATTTATCAAAATTTACAAAAAAAAGAAGATGGTACAAGTCTTGGAGAAATTACCCATGTATATGAGGCATTTGACAGCACAGAATTTCATACCGGTAACATAAAAAATGACCATAATCTTTTGTGTTTAAACTTATCTGCTCAAAGGTGGTGTTAAACAATGATTAACTTCACGTTAGTTAACTTAACAAGCAATAATAAATCTATTTGCATAGATTGGTATTTGTGCTTAGTTTCTAAATTTTCTTATTTTTTAGTATGTTGAGAACAGGAAGACTATAAAAAATAGATTGAATTTCTCAAATAGCCTAATATATTTTTAAACTACAGATGATATTCAAGTTCGCTTCTTTGAAGAAGATGAATATGGAAATGATGATGGCTGGGATGCTTATGGTGATTTCTCCCCTACTGATGTACACAGGCAGTTTGCGATCGTATTTCGAACACCAAGATACAAAGATGTCAGCATAGACAAGCCTGTTCAAGTGCAGGTATGCCGTGTCCTTTACCTTTCGAAAATTCCCAGGAGAAAGTAAAAGTTGATATGCATGCCGGGGTTCTAACTTTTAAGAATTTGGTTTAGACGAAATTTCAAATAACAGCTATTCAAAAATAAATGTAATTTGAAAATTTATGTAACCAATATCACATTCACAGTTGATGCTAGTCTATTTCTATGAGGTTTGAAATTTTGTAGGAAAACGCTAGAGTGGTAGTTCAAAAAGCTCTTGACATTTCAGTGGCTTCCTGTTACTTTTCTAATGTTATGCTCTTTTACTACTAAATGGTTACACGTGACCTTGCTTGCTCTAAACAAATTCTTCCCCTCAAAAAATAAAAATATCTACTTTTTTTGTGCAGGTTCAACTTAGACGTAGATCAGACGGTGAAGTATCAGAACCACGTACTTTCACCTACATGCCTGTTCAAGATGGTTTGTTTTTTCTTATTTTCAATGATTTTGTAACTATTGAATTCACATTTTTAATAAATATTTTTCATTTAATATTTAATCAACAAACCAGATCCTGAACAGATACTGAGGAAGCGTAAAAAAGTCAGCGCACATTTTGAAGATCATGTTGTAGGCAATCAACCCAATGGTAACGCTGGACATGCACCTATGGGTACCTATCGCCAGTCAGGTGGTTTCGTCTTTCAGAGCAGTGGAAACAACACTGGTGGTGGTGGAAAGCAAACTAAACGTTTTGGACCTCCTCCTAGACAAGCCAATCCACAAAAAGGACCTCTTGACCCATCATTGTTGCTGTATAAAATGCACCACATGAAACAGGAGCCAGTAAGTGTTAAAAATAACTCAAAAATTTGCTATTTATTTACCTACTGTTTTGACTTTTAACTTCCACACACCGCAATTATAATGAATAATGATAACGAGTTTCAAGTAACTTTTAACAATCTGAGGAGCGTGGTATCATTACTTTCATGTGCACTTCACATTGACTGATGTATTGCTTTCTTACAGGCCAGCCCGCCAATGATGAACGGTGGAATGATGATGAATAATGGGGTCTCAAGTCAAGAGGTATTGCATGGCTCACACGCTATGGTGCCTTCACCACAAGGATCTGATGTAAGTGTGATATAGATGTGTTATGAAGAGAAGCTAGGAATTGCTCTAATTCAGATAAGCAAAATTGCAAATTACATAAATTATTTTATCTAAAATTAAAGCTTATTGCAAGGTTGAATAGGTACATCATTTGGAGATAAAAATCCATTTCTCACTGTCCATTTCCACTGATTTCGTCTTCGTAACAAATTCATGTTTTCAATACTCGATTTGAATATTCAAATTTTTCTTTATTTAATTTTGGTCAGATTTTTTTTTGGTAAACATTTTTTAATTTCTTTCTTATTTTTTATACTTATTTGTTATTGTTTTAACCAAAAATCAATCAAAAATATTTTTAGAGATCTGCTGTCTTTGTCAGGGTAACACAAATTTTTTATATTGGTTTCGCATGTATTACCATTATGTTTAAAAAAAACTACTAATAACGTTATCTGGTGTGGTGATATGAATTTGTAAACAAATTCTATAAACTGTAGTTTTGTTGATATTACTGATAGTTATTGGGGTCTATTAATGGTGGTTCATTTTTTGGAAGAGCTTTGTAAGTTCTGTCAGAGTACAGTATAGGGTTCGATATAGAATTATTATATTCTATAACTTGGTGGGTTTAACACTTTTGTTTTATAGATTCGGGTGTGTTAACATAAAATTTCAAATTCATTAATATAATATGACGTAGGCTACTTTATTTTTTTAGTATTCCAAATTCATCACTGTTTTAGGAATGAATCAGAAATCATTTATATTAATGACTCTTTCCAGAATCTTCCAATGATATACCTTTACAGACTAAGAAAACTAGAAAGATGCAATCCTTTTCTTTCAAGTTATTCATAATAATTCGTGAATTTTCTCATTCTTATAGTGACCCGAAGCCTCAAACTTTCATTTTGTTTCAGAGTTCACAAGGAATAAATGCAAACATGCGGGCAGTCAGCATTGGCAGTTCAAGTCCCCACAGTTCGAGCCATGGATCTCCTATGTCAGCTGTGAGTTCTTCTTTATGCAATTGCATGAGCAGAGGTTTAGTAAGAATCTAAGAATTGTAATAAAGATTAAATTCCAATGTCAATGTCAAATCCATCTACAATTGATATTTATTCATGATTATTCTTTATTCGATAATTTATGGAATAGGTACCTCATATTGAGCTAATTTTCATTTTATTTTTCTAATCAGGATTTGAATGGAGTTGTCGCACCACAAATTTCAGAGTCAAATTTCATCCCTGGAACACGTGTCCCTTTTCCACAGATGTTGGCCAATAGTACCCAAGCACAACCCCAGATTTCACAACAACAGGTACATTATTTAACGCTTCGGTAGTATTTGTACCAAGATGACGCACAACCTGAACAACCCTAACCTGGTACACATACTATGTTCAGGTTGTGCGCCATCTTGGTACGAATACTTCGGGAGCACCCATTATTTTTTTATTAGAAATGTCATTCATACTGTTTTGATGCCTTTTTTGTGACTTTGTGTTTTTCAATCAGAAGCTCACTAGTATGGAATATTGTTGTATCATTTTTATTAGATGGTAGAAGCTTCATAATATAAAATTTACAATAGCTTGATGGTTATTACTGGTATGCCATCATAATTATTTCAAGTTAATTTAGTTTAGTTCTCAGCTATTCTGCCTGCTTGTAATCTGGTGACGCTGTCACAGGTAAATTTTAACTCCCGCAGCCTTCCGTTGATCTGTACATGTAGAGAACACATATAGAGCAATTTGGGCAAAATTGTTTGTTCTCATTTTATTATTAAATATAACCTTCATTTTTTTCAAGTGGGTTCAGATGCAAACCGTTCCAGTACAATATCAACAAGTACAACTAGTTCAACAACAGACACTTCCATCAATGCAGTTACAAGGACAATTCATTTATGCTCAGGTGCCACCCACCACCTCCAGCGGAAATGCACTTTATTTCGACCCCGGTACAGGAGATGTACAGGCAGGAGAGTCATATGCATTAGAGGTATCTAATTTCAAGAGTTTCAATACAAAAGGACGAGTGTTGACATTCCAAAAAATTTCATTTGGAAATAATGCAAATAAATTGGTGCTTTTTAATAGGGTGATTCAATCATAGTTTGAAGCAATATTCACTAATGTACTTAATAAGTTAAACAAAAATCCAAATTATATGTTTCTCATTTTCACAGGACAGTATTTTCAATTTTCGCCCTTTTTTAGTTAAAGCCCTCAGAATGCCTTATCTTGTTTTTGGTTCACTCTGATAGGAATCTGATAGTGAGAATTGAATGAACAAATTCAATAGAACTTATCTTATGTTTAGGTTACCATATCACAATTACTACCAATGTTTATTATGCAAAAATATTTCATTAAAAAATAAAAACCCTTTTTTTGTGACAAGGGCCAGTAAAATGTGATACGTAGTGATGGACATCGCTGTGATTGACATTTTCAACTAATCATAAGATATTTAAGAGTGAATACATCAGAACTGCTGTATTTTAATTCGAGTTTTTCTAATTTTACTGAAATAATCCTTCAATCGTATTATTACATTGGGGATGGAGTGTCCAATTATATTACGAAGCATTTTAGAATTATTTTATTATTACTTTGTGTAGGAGGTTATCGGGCAGGAAGTTGTAGGCACAAATGTGGATGAAGATATCAATGATTTCATTGCTACCACCCTCAGTGGTTTTACAGGATCAGCACAGACTTTTACCAGCTCAGGTTTTCCTAATTTTTTTTTTTCATTTGGTTATGGAGAAATTATTTTGGCTTCAGCAACACCGTCTAAATGAGATTTTATATTCGCTTTGGCGGATTTTTGTCATCAAGTCTTGGTTGAGCAGCATCTAAATAGCCAACTAATTTAATGTTTCATATGCACAGATGATAAACATGCGACATCAGTGCATCACATAACAAATTCATTGCAAGTTCTTTGCTGCTTGAACTAACTTATGTGTCATTTTTATCAAGACTACCGATAGTTCATTTTAAATACCGGTAACGCCAATGCTAATTCCAAAAGATATTGTTTTTATTTTAGGATAAAAATTGTGAATATGGATTATTTTACAAAACTCTTATTGATGGAAAAAAAAACTTTTCTTGCAATTAATGGCAGAAATGATTTCAGATTCTCATTACCTGAGAACAAAAAACGTCTCGAAGGCTATTATTTTATTTTTTGAGTTTTATGCTCGAAATTTCACCCATAATGTGGCTACTCTTAAATGCACATTACACTACCAAGTAGCAGAATATCATGTCGATCAGCCATTTTCTCGACAAAACTTGTGCTTAACTAAGGGCTTAGCCTTGCCCATATTAATTGCTATGGTCATGGTTCCTCATTTTCAGTTATAGTTTGAATGACCAGATTTGTGTGGCAGTCTCATAGGCTCTACTCTACTGCACACCGTGGTTAGTCATTGAACGTTGGTTTTCTTGTATTTGAGATTGCTTTCTTGTTTTATTCAGCATCTGGTCAAATGGAAGGACCAATCATGGATATACTCATGAATTCAGAAACGCAGATCGTTACAGATGCAGTCTCCGAAGTAAGTTTTATATATTTGGTAGTTTTTTAAACTTATATAAGAAAGATTACTCTATTTGATTAGCAGGGAAAAATTTCATATACATTATAGCCTTAACACTTGATAAAAGCTAATAATAATAAAATAAAACTTTTCATAAGTATAATACTTTATTCTTATAGTAGTTAGTTACAATGGTATTATGTTTCCAGAATCTTAGACTAATCATTTTGCCAAAAAACTTTTTGGTCATTCTGTTATGTAAGTGAGTATATTTACAGGCCGGGCCCACTTCATATAAAACTTAATTTGGCATGCCTATAAAGGTTTTTTTGAACAAAACAACATCACACTATTAATATAGGCCCATGTGATATTTGGTAACATATATGCCATATTCATACAATACCAATTCGAATCAAGCAACACAGTACAGGAAGCCTATGACATGTTTTAAATTGTGGGTTTTTCCAGGTCTATTTATTGATTGATTACATATTGTATAATGTATTATCAATTTCTATCACAATACAAATTTTGATATGCGAGACAAATATAACAGGCTTTTTAAAGTAGAACATATTATACAGCTAATGAGGGGCAAACGGTTATCTAGTAAGTATTCTGAACATTCGTAAAAAAAAACATGAAACTTTTTGTTGATTTTGGCGTACTGTGAAAAGGTTCATCAAGCTTTATTATCTTTCAGTCACTGAATAATTTGATTCTTGTGGTAAAGTATTAAAAAAAATTCTATCTTATCTATCTATCTTTTCCCACGGTCCCCAAATTGGTTAGGTAATGTCATACCGGAAATGTTTCTTTTCTTCCAAGAATAGCATCTAACCTGTTACATATAGCTTTCCTTGTTAAGAGCAAATGTGAGAAAACAAACCATAAACAATTCATTGGTTGGTTTACTATATTCACACTGCTGCTCATAAAGATAAACTTGTTGAGCATATTGTTAGCCTTTGTTTTTTTCATAATTTTCACAATTCTCATTCTCGCAGGAAACCAAGACCGATGCCATGACCAAAAATGTTGACGATGAAGGTTTCTCTGCAGGGATGCAAGATACCTCGGTAATACCCGAGGTATGAATGCGCCCTTCTCACTTTATTATCTCTTACTCTCTTTATTTTGTTTTGTAAAAAATTTGTTTGCCCTCAGGCATTGTTGTGTCAACCAGGTAGATATTACAACTGAACAGAACAATGGATAATTAAAGATAAAAAAACATTTACCGTAAACTCGCTTCACGATTTTTGACTTGATTTTTTTTTTCTTCACATCATGCCTCTCGTCATGATGCATACTAGACAAATGGTTTTGATTTATCACATTGTATGTAAATAAATTCACAGATAAAAACTTCCTGCCTATGGCATGGAATTTTACTATCTCGTTTTCTATGTTAAATCTTTTTTTTAAAATTACTTAATCTATGTTGATTTCTTACAGATCAAGACTGAAAAAGCAGTCCAGGGTGAGCGTAGTTTTTTTACATAAATTTATCCCTTCAAGTTGTATTGTTATTCATTAAATACATCTTTTCAGTTACATCATTCATTACCTTTATTTCAATATCTTCAAAATAGTAACGGCAATCAATATAAATCAGGCAATTTCTCCTTTACCCATATTTTATTAAAGGCAGAAGCCGTAACCTTTCCTTTTAATGTAAATTGGTCTGAATATGCTTGACTAAGCAATAACAGGTTAACCCTTTTTTTCCGCTGTATACAATCGACTTTATGTACCATTTTATAATATGCAATGACCAGTTAACCAAACGTACAAGGAACACCCCCAATATCTCTTTAAAAAGCTTATTTTCGCGTCTTCCTACTAAAACGCGCCCAAATGACGTAGGCGAAACTGTTCGACCCTACGCGTGTAAGAAGAGAGAAATTTCAAAAAATTTTGAGAGAACGTTTCACACTCTTATCGCTTCGATGAACACGTGTTACAAAGAAACGAAATTCCAAGCGCTCTTCTGAAAGAGGGTTACGTCACCTTTGCAGAAAAACCAGACTCAGCTTCGCAAGCGAAGCGAAACGCGAAATAATCAATGATATGTGAGAGCATGTCCACGATAGTTGTCTGGAATCTTTGTTTGTTTATTATGTGCGCGAAATTGTTTCCCGCTCGTTCAAATGACTTATTTTTGAAGTAATGACAAATACTTTCGTGTATCTCTAAGCTTTGAAATGCCTACACAAATAAAATTCACTTAGTAGTAAAATAAAAAATTTACAAAAAAACAAAATGTTGACAGATCAAGCACGGATCATAGTTGGATGCTCAAAATGATTTAGTTAGTGCGGAATACTTCACAAAACATGAACATGAACGTAAAATAGTCCGAAAATAACTATTATGACCAAGGATGGTAATACGAATATATAAGTTATACGGAACAAAAGAGTTAATAAAGTATATGTTGTTCATACATAAATTAAAGTTAAATATATCATGTTTTGGATCTTACCAAGGTATTTGTTTGGACCATGAATCTATTTTAGGGAATGAGGGAGTCTCCAACGCCCACAAGCTTTACGTAACATTATAGGGCCTAAGGGATTATAGAATAGGTCTATTAGAGTTAAACCACATTTAATTTTTTTTTTAATATGACACTCATTCACGATATTGAATTTGAACCAGATATGTTTATGAAAATAAAAAATAATACTTGAATTTAGATGTTATTGAAGCCGATAGCTGTGCTATTGAAAGACAGCTTGAAACAGCCAATGCTCCAGTTGAAGTTGGAAAAAATAAGCCAAAAGTACAGGTATATAATAGTCTATTCGTTACACTTTATTGGCGATATACATTTTGTATAGCTGTTCCAAAAAACATGTTAGCTTTATGGCAATTGGATATCCCTGTATGAAAAAAGCTAGTAATCAAATGTCATAAATTCAACTTTGTTGCTAACTGCAATATGATAGTCTTTTTAATTTAAATTTATGGTGAGAAAATCGAACACACTTTAGTTTGGAGAAATATAGTTTGTAACAATGTAACATGCTGATTCTTTGGCCAGTCCATTTTAAAATGTGTTTATTTGATTTACATGACACAAAATTTGGTGATAGTTTTCAATGTAGTCAAATTATAAGCATTTTTTTATGTCAATTTTCACCTTTGCCTATGATTGCAAAAAAAAACATTCTAGAATATAATTCAAAGTCACAATATTCCATTACAGTCACAATTCTTTATAGTGTCTGTATTATAAAACTATTTCTCAAAATTCCAATTTTTAATATATCTCGTAGGTAAAGGAAAGTCAACCACAAACAATGACTCAATCAGCAGAAACGAAACAAAAAAGACCACCACCCAACATTACAGATGACATGAAATTAAAACAAGGTAGTTGATGTGCTATATATTACAAACTCATAAGTTTCAAATTCAGGGTAAATTATGCATTTTTGATCTATTATTTTAAGATATTTCATGAATTCACCTGTTGGATATAGTATTAAAATTGCCTTTTTATTATTCATTTTCATTCACATCTGTAATTTTCAGAGGCTGAAATTATCGATCGACTCGATAAAACATCACTACAAAAGCTCCTGGTCAACATTACCATCAGAACTGCCAAAGCAATGCAGGACTTTGCAGCAACAGGAGACATCCGTATAATACTCGCAACACAACGTCGTCTCACTGATATTCAGGACAGCGATGGGGACACGTAAGTTTATTGAAAGATTAGATTCAGTGGAATATTTTTTAAGGCTGTGAAACGTGTGAGTCTTTATTTTATCGCGGAATCATCATTATGCCTCCACCCTCGAGGGCATGCATCTGAAACAAATAACTGGATAACTAACCTCATACCTGACATGAACTAGTAACTGGACGAGGCAGTGGTTCGCCATATGATTAAGCTGTCTTATCGGCTTTCCTCTCCCCTGGATAAACATGTGAATCCTATCATAATCGGGAAACGTATATCCATAAATAGCCCTGTAGTTACGTCTGACTCATGAAAATTTTCCTTTTCTTCATAGCCCCCTTCACCTGGCCGTCATCAACGGACAAGACAAGGTTCTTCTTGCATTGATACAACTGATTCAAACCATACCAAGTAGTGGCGAAATCATCAATAGAATGAATGATACTCAACTCACACCACTACATATTGCTGTACACAGCGAAAATGCTAATGCTGTAAAGGTGAGGAGTAATTCTTGAATGTCTCGGGTGATGATCTGCAAAGTCTTTCTCAACTTCGTTATGACAACTTCACCTGTTATTTTCCCATTGTTTCTTATTGTTAAACATGTGCGTGGACCCTAAAATTTAATTTACATCATGATTGCAGTGTAGAAACGGCAAATTTACAATAAAACCTGTAATTATCTGAATTTCATAAACACATTTCTGAATACAAATAAAATCAACCTTCATTTAATCTGAGTTTTTTAGATTTTTTTATCAAGTATTATTTGTGTGATTTTTTGCTTTGATGATAACACTATGCCTATCAGGGAAACACACATCTTTAAACAATATGAATGAATAGATAGGACATCTCTTCTGAAAAAATTTTGAAATATTTTTGCTACACATGTATTGTAAAAACCTGCATGTAAATAATAATTCATATAAAAGTTACTCATAATCGGATTTATGGAAATAATTCAACAAAAAGTAAATATTTATTCTATAGCTCAGTTTTGCTGTGCGACTGTGTTTATTTATAACACACAACACACTAGAGAATTATTTGAATACGAGCATCCATGTTTATAAACTAAATAATATATTGCATTGTTCTATGTAATATTTACAAATTTCAGTGGCTGATGGGTGCTGGTGCAGATGCCATGCTTGGTGATTCGAGAGGGAACACAGCAATCCATCTTGCCTGTAGTACAGGACAAGCTGACCTACTGGAATATATGCTGATGAAGTCTTGTGATGGCATTGAACCACACAACTATAATGGTATTTTTCTTTTTTATTCTTTTTCTCCTAACCAATTTTGTCCAAGTTTGTAAAGTTAATAATAATCTCTATAAAGATCTTATAAATGGTTACTTGGAGTAGGGAGTCTGATAAACCAAATGAATATGTCTACTACTATATTATGACCCGTGCTCTCCCCAATTCAGAGGTTTGATCCTATCTTGAAGAACTGGGTGTCTTGGTACTTTAGGAGTATCTGAAAAAGAACAACATAATTAAATACAAATCTTGTGGATTCTGTCTTTTTGCTAATTTTTTTAATCGAAATATCAATATTGAACACCAATTTTTGGTCCATCTGTTTTGCAATATAGAGGAATTGAATTGAGCCTTAATGCTACTCCATATGTTTTCATGTTACATGACTTTATTTTTTCAACTTTTCACTTTGAAAGGCCTTACTCCTCTTCATACACTTGCAAGCAAAGTATCTGAAAGTGCTCGGCAGTGCATCAGTTTGCTGATAAAGCACGGACACAATGTGGATTCTGGAGATATGAAGAGCGGACGTACTGCATTACATATTGCAGCTGAAGAAAACAACCTGATTGTTGCTGGTTATCTTATCTCTGAGGTAAGATAGTAATCAGTCCTGCTGATTAAATAAATTACAAATTTCACTTTAAAAAGATTTCTTATTTTGAGAATATTTAGTCCTTTTTGTTGTTTGGCAGAATGAGAATAAAACAAGACTAGCGGAATTTCCTCCTAATATACACCTCTTGCACAATTTGTGGTTGATTTTTGTGGAATTTGCCTGAATTTCCCCAAATGTTTGATCGCAGATAACATAATGTATATTTAGGTTGAAAATGAAACTAATTCGAGTGTTTTGATATCTTGGGGACTTTTCTCCATTTCGGGTTCCGGAATGAGAGTGTCTAGTTCACACAATTATTATTGTTGTTGGATTGTCGCCCTGGTATGCGGCATTAGGTGTACAGTATGTATGACAAAAAGTTGAATGAAATATCTTTTTGATAATGCTTATTTTTTCAGCATTATCGTTTTAGTTCTAGGAATATTGGATGGATTATATTCAGCCTGGTTTATTATATTTATGGACTATGCAACTGACACCAAGGTTGCAATCTAAGTTACTTTTTTAAATGATTATCCAGCAAAGTTGTAATATTCTACAGTAGCATTTTTTTTTTATAAATAGATTCTTTTTCAAGTTCTTGTTTGGAGTGAACAGTGATGGGCAAAACTGAATAAAACTCTATTCTGAGAACATTATAAAATAAAATTTTCAAATATAGAATAAAAACCTAATTTGGGTTTACTTTGATTAAAATAAATTAATAATATTCTAATTAAATTAAATATATTCTAAATTATTCCTAATATCCTAGAATTCATTATTTAAATATTCGATTTATTATATATTTATAAATTGATATGCTTTCATATTTAGTGCAACGCAGACCTTGAATGTCGTACCTTCAGTGGATTGACACCACTTCACATTGCCGTTGCAAGAGATTCTCAAGAAATCGCAACTTTATTGCTCGCATGTGGGGCTGACCCACAGAGTGAATATTCAGAAGACCCCAATAGTATTCCACTTTCGCTTTGCGTCAGTTCAAGAATGAGAGATATTCTGGAGGGAGGTTCTGCTTACGATCATTGTGACATTGGATCAGAATATTCATCACTAGTAGATAGCAGCGAAGGTAGAATATGTGTTATATCTTTGAATAAAAATCTTCTGCATGTCTCATATTATGTGATATTTAAAAAATGTAGTAAAATATGTCTTTTTGAGGTATTTAAATGTTAAATTTTTTTTTTTTTCAATATGACCACCATGATGTCTGGGCAAAATGAAAAGAATTATACTGAATGTTGTATGGATTGTACAGAGTGTCATAAATAAATCAGCAAAATTTGAGCTTTAATATCGAGCCATACCGGTAATTATGGATCTTTGAGAAAATTTGAAAAAAATGAAAATAAAAGGGGGAGCTTTCTAGCAAGTTTCTTTCATCCTTCAGTATTGAAAATTGAAATTGATTGGTCCAGATGTTCCAGAGAAAGGAGATTTTATTCAGCTTAACTGTTCGTAGGTCCACTTCATACCCAATATTGAATATACATGTATTTTAGATCTGTACTCACTTGAACCCATCATCAAAATGAAGTTATCTCGACTACTCGATCCAATCAGTGATGGCAAGGATTGGTATGCCCTTGCCAAGAGACTCGGACTTGGAGCACTCATTGGCATATTTGAGGATGAGGAAAAAAGTCCGACTGAAACTCTTCTTGAGAACTATTCTGTAAGTTGAGATAGAGAGAGAGTTGACATTGTTGATATTTTTTCAAGGAACAACAATACTTGTTCGCACATTGGTACCTTTTGGTATTCTGTTTCATGGTCCATAAATATTGCATGGTATTGAATCTGGTTAGTTAAAATAAAGGTTTTTTCTCCCAGGTTTTAATAAGTCCCATAGGTAAAGTTGCACTCGCAAACAATTCAGTCCAACCAAACACGACAGCTCAGTATTTTAGCTGCTTTTCTAGAGGCTCGTATAGAGTGAAAATACGAATGCCTGGTAATAAATTATGCAGAACAGTAAAGTGAAAAATACTTATAGTAATAATTTCTGATATGAGTCAAAAGTATGATGGTATCATAATGGAAGAAGTGTTTTAACGCCTATGTAATTATTGTTATCATATTTAACAGTGTATCCAAGGTACAGTGACAGGACTCAGAGCCGCTTTGACACAAATTGACAGACAGGATGCCATTGATGTTCTCAACAAATCTCAGACAAATGAATCTGCAAAACTGGTACAATTTTTTCTCTTCCTGTGAAGCTTAGGACAGGGGTTCTTTCACAAGCTTTTCTTTCACATTCTTTATATATTTTCACTTTTACAAATAGCTATGGTGAGATATAATGAGCAAAACTGGCTTCCAAATAGGGAATTTCAAATATAAAATCACAACATTCGATCATGTAATGAAAAAAAATTAACAGCCTATTTTTGGTAGTAGAGATTAGTGTAAATTTATTGCTTCAGGCAGGAGGAAACATTGTTTAAATTACTCGATCTTTGACAATTCAATGGAAATCCTATTTTCAATGTGTTTTCTGAATTACTTTTTTTTATTTCAGTGCCACAAAGATGAAGTAGATTTGGAACGTGTCGACAGTGCTTTCGAATCAATGACATTGTCTGAAAGTCAGAATATTTCAATACCACAATGTTAAATCTCCTGGGTGTGAACTTCAAAGACAAATAGCAAACTAATATATCAGAAATTGTACATGTGAAAAGATATGCACACCTTATCCATTATCTTTTCACACTCCATAAATTGAAAAAACATTTCTGAAAAGGCTGTGTTTCAGATGATTGATACTATGTATATAATTTCTTTTATTTTTTTCCTATTCCCATCTATGAGAAACTTGATGCCCTACGCTTCGTAATTGTTTCAGACGTGTTTATGTCTCTAATTATGTATGAGAAACATACTTTTTTTATTTGTTTTTTATTTTATGGTTCTGTTCATTTAAATCAAGCCTGGATTGAAAAATGCGTTTTTTCTCACTAACAGGACATTCTTAAATATTGGTAACATTAACCTTCCAATGGATGAGCTGATGTTAATTAATATAATATCTGATTTTCATGATACAGTCACATTTCTAATGTCTATAGGTCTTCTATGATATATCTTGTACATATTTTTACCAATGTACATTCTGATTTTTTTCTTTCAGTTTTGCTTACAATTCGATAAATATTGAATTTGCGACTCGTAGCCTACTCTTTGCCAGAACTATACATATCAGATGTCAAGAATTCCAACTCTCTCATTTAAGTGGTCAGTGATGTATTTTTCTTAGCAGTGTGAAAGGTAGTAATCAATATGTTCCATTTATGATTATCTAATTGTTATACTCTTGTACATCATGGCTGTCATAAAATCTGGTTTTTACGATTTCTGATAACACTTTTTTTTTACTTGTGAAAATTTTTTGTCACAACCTTTGTATTATTATGAGTAGTGTCATTTTTGCTCTTATATTTTTTTGATTTGCCAAGACTGTCGCAATGGTATTTGAAGGGAATTTGAACCAGTTTCAGTGAATGTATAAACTTGTTATATTAATTAATTTTTGTCCTTGATTATAAGACTTATTTTTTGAAATTGGATATCATATGTAATCCTGACCTTCTCTAGAATGAATGAGAATGAATGCCATTTATAATTGATCCATAATTTTTATTGCAGATATGTGGTTTCTCTTTGATTCTTTTAATTATCAAGATTCTTATTGGTATAGTTTTACTGCATGACCGTTCTATTTATGTCCCAAATATCCAATGTCAATTTATACTTTCTCAGCATTGGGGGATCTCGGATAGAATAGCAGCAAATGCAAGTTATTTGTTGAAGTAACCATGAATCCACGAAATGGATGTTGATCAACCTATTTGATTCTTATATTTTGTCCTTGTGTTGTATTGTATATAATAAATCTTAGTACCCAAAACATTGTATGATTTTGTTTTGCAAATCTTGGTATGGTTACTTCATAGTCTGGGGCGGAAACGTTTTTTTGCATACAGAAACCGTAATACCAAGTTTTTTGAACAACTATATCGCCGACTATGACATTAGATTTCAATAAATTATGTGTTTCCCAGCCTGTTTTAAAGTTAACTTTACCTAAGCAAAAGTTCTTACTTAGACCTTTTCTGCTAACAACCTATTATTTGGATCGTTGTGAAATTTATCAGATCTAACGTAACGTTGTCTTCCGAACTGATTTCACTGCAATGAAAAATTTTTGTCGTTCGAAAACCAGAGATAAGATAACTGCTAGCAAATTAAGTCACTTCACAACAGGAGTTGTAAATAAGGTATTTGTGGGACAGAAGTCAATATGTTTCCATGGGTGGCTCTGAATCACTGAGTGAAAATATCTCGGTTGGAGTTCCTCAGGGATCATTTCTGGACATACATTGTTTTTATTCGATATTAATGATATTCTCATTAAAGGTATTGTCAGCATGTAAGGTAGCTTCAAAAAAATTAGATCCAACGTACTGTATTTACAATAAAAAAGTTCTACTCCTAATGTGGAATATTTCAGTAAATCGCAACTAGATCGTTCAGACGATTTTTCTCAATTTTCGTTGAACATCAACATTGTTTGCTTCCGACTTTTGAACTAATATAGATGGGCTCATAGACGCGTTCCATCTCGATTTTTCATCAAACATCAACATTATTTGCTTCCTATATTTTAAACTAACGCCCAAGGGCGACTTTTGAACTAATATAGATGGGCTCATAGACGCGTTCCATCTCGATTTTTCATCAAACATCAACATTATTTGCTTCCTATATTTTAAACTAACGCCCAAGGGCATTCGTTTCTGCATTCTAAAATTAAGCGAAATCAACGAACTTAACGTATTTTTAGAGTGATACGATTAGCATTATTTTCTGTAGTTTAGAATGAATTGAATGTAATGTTAATATAATATAAATGGGTTAAGTTAATAAAAATATGGGGTATTATTTAGACGAATCTAAATTTATTTTTTAGGGATAATAATTATATATATCCTACAACATCCAAGTTTAGAATGTAGGATTATGATGAATGTTAATAGATTTGACGACGACTCATTTCATATTCCTATATCTGCACCAATGTAATTTGGAGGATAGCCTAATTATATCTGCGTTTGAAATAACTTTTGGAAAAGTTCTCACATCCTAATTATTAGTTTGTACGGAGAGTTGGGTTCTGTGTGCATTCTGTGTGTAAACCTTCTACATTTTAATAAGTTGTCATGTATTTTATAATGTAAGAGTTTTTGCATGTTGTAATTTCTGATAAGTTGTTTCCGAGTTAACGCAGTAACATTTATTTGTAATATTAATTTAGTATTATTTTAATTAGTTTCTGTCGTTAGCAGATTTCAGGAAGTTTTCAAGTGAAAACTTGAAGTTGTATTGATTATATTTTCTCTCTTAGAATTGGCCAGCACAATTGTCTTTAGTAATGCAATTACTTTTTTAATATACAAAAGTTATTCTTTAAGTGCTTAAAAGTTTGATTGCTATCATATTGTTTGGGCTTATATTTAGCGTGGCCTTATCGAACATGTATAAAATGTCATTTATTCTGGATGTTTCGTAAGAATAGGCATAGTTGGAAGGGTAAAGGAATTTCAATTGTGTCTTGTTGGGATACAGAAAAAAATAACAAATTGTTGAATAATTCATTGAGTGAATCATGCAATAGAATAGAGAATGTTTAATATCTTGAGTGTCAAATTGTTTCAGTGACTAAACTGTGAAACTTTTTATCCACATATGTAGTGTTCATAAGGACACTGAGGTTGCTACATTATTGCTCATCTCTGTTAAATTTCATTAAGAATTTCCAGTACATAAAAGTCACTAGCTCCCGTAGTATGTGCACCAAGATGGCGCACAACCTGATAACCCTAACATGGTACACATACTATGCTCAGGTTGTGCACCATCTTAGTGCACATACTACGGGAGCACCAAAATTTCAGATGATTACTAGTGATCAATCCGAAGCAAGCACAGAAAAAGTTAAATGTCCACAGTCAAAGACTGGTGGCACAAGTTCTTCCACTAAAGCTAAGGAGCTGGAGGCACCTGAAAAATTAGAAAAAGTTCAAATTGAAAAAAAGGTGGGAAAGTCACTTTATTAACAACAGACAGCAACGATAATAGCAACCAATAGCACAAAAACTTTGAGGAATTTAATGCTTGAATTACAAACTTTAGATGGAATACTATTCAAACCACCAACAGCCTTGAATTTGCGAAATACTGTTCCAAAGTTTCTTGGTAATGACACATAACCTTCTGTTCAGGTCTCGACAAGAGGTGGAATAACTGACATTCTTTGCTCTGCAATTGACACTTCTGTATATATATATATATAAATTATGTGCTACCAATGCAATATTTTATTCTTCTATTCCAGAGTATCGTACTATTTGTATATGGATGTTCCTAGTAGAATGAAGTGATGTAAATTTTACAGTATTTAATCGAAACTTAATTAAATGACATGACTATTGTATACCATGGTGTCATACCTCGCATGATCATAAATAAAATGTACCTTAATATTATAAAATAGAAAATATTATGTTTTCACAAAATAAATAAACAATTATTCTTTTAAAATGCATCACTCTTTTCAGATAAAAGAAAATATATTAAATATGAATCCGGATGAGGTATGTGAATTTATAAGAATAATTGAAGAAAATATTTTTATAGCTTGTTATATACAGTTGGAAAGTTAGGAATGTATAGCTAGCTATAGTAACTCTTGGAATATTCCATTGGAGTTCAAGTAAGGTTGCAAACTAGCTTTTAAAGGTTTAATTTTTTTCAGTTTTTATTGCCTTATGGTTAAGCCGTCTCATCGACTTTCCTATCCCCGGGATAAATATGTAAATCCTATCCTATCGTTCTGTTTGGTAGCTCAAACATTCATCTAAGTTGATGAACACTACAATGTGTGAAATGCAAATTTTACCTCAATTTGGCATTCAAAATATCATTGGTGATATCATGATAAACTTTCTTCATAATGAATTCAGATAGTTAGTTGTTCACTTCTCTAATTAAATAGTAGATAATAATTCATCACAACATTGCTTTTCTTTTTTAAGAGTCAATCGCCGTATCTTGACATCATTGAACACCCAAAAGCGAGAGGGTTCAGATTTCGTTATTCTTGTGAGGGAACATCTCAAGGTGGCATACCCGGGGCTAGCAGTGATAAAAACAGGAAAACATATCCTGCAGTTCAGGTATTTAAATTTATTCCATAGCAACAGAAAAATAACTCAATTCTATAAATTGAAAATAATCCAATGTTAGAAATTGTGTGGAGATCTATTGGTATGTACTCAGTTTTCAAATAAAATATGTGGTAAAAAGATATCATGATCAATGTTGAGTTTTACTTCGAGTTTCATGATTAAGTTTGGATCATATTATTTTGATTAGGTGGCCTCAAAAAAGGAGATTCAATGTCATTTATATACAATAAGATGAATTGGTTGTGAGTATATTCTGGAATCTGGAATATTGTGTATTATTGGTTATTTGCAATTTTTTATTTAGGTTGAATGATCATCATTTTTCAACATTGATACACAATATTTGGGTTTCCGCAAAATGTTGTTAGAACTTTTGATATCTTGTTGTAAATTTCTTGTTTTTTTTCTTCTAATCAAATTTTAAATTTTTGTATCGAAATTTTAACATCAGATAAGAAATCACTCAGGATATGCAAGAATCGTTGTTCAGCTTGTCACAAATGAAATGAAACCACGACTTCACCCACATTCACTTGTGGGAAAACAATGCCAGAATGGCATCTGTACTGTTCAGTGTGGTCCCAAGGACCTGACTGCCACGTAAGTTTTCTGTTTTACTTCTCCCGTTCTTATTTTTCTCCCCAGACAGAAGAGGTTTATCTACTTTTATTTCCCATCATCTTCCATATTTGAAGGGGATTCTCTAGGGGTAATTAAATAATATATCTTCCACTGTGCTGCATCCAACGTCACATGCAAAATAATTTAGGTCACAGATTAGATCCTGCTTCAAGCACATCACGTTAAAATTCAGAACTTAATTTACAGCTATATATATAATAGGCCCTTCTATATACCAAAACAGTATACATAACATATTTAAATTAGATTTCTTCTTGGCCCTAATTGTAACGAGTGAAGCACCTCCTAACTGTCTGCATTGTTTCATTATATCGTTACAATGAAGCGTGAGGTATTTATAATCACCTTCCCTAGATATTCATTTATAGTTTTAGGAATAAAACTTCAGTATCATTCAAAAGAGATTTAAAGTGGTTTGTCTCCTATAGATTCAAAAAAGGTTCTGTATATGAATGGGAAAAAAAGTTATCAAATTTGTGTTTGTTTGCAATAAATTAGATATGATAAATGCTATATTTGTGACATTTCTCTTTAAGTGCCTCTTAATGGCATATCTTGACCACACCTTATTTTTCGCCATAACGGTAATACGATGGAGTTTTGATTCCAATTGGAACACTGAATAATTTGAAATGCTTCTTCAATAGATCTTCTTTTTTTTTCAACTTTTTAAATTTGATTTTAAATTAAATTTGCTCAACAATAAATTCATACAATTTCTGTGGAATGTTGACTTTACTAAAATATTTTTCTATTATATTGAGTTAAAAATTTATGATTTTATGGTATTCATGTCTCAACTGTCAAGATTACGAATAAAAAAGTTTTTTTTCAAATTGAAACATTGTTTTCTATTATTCAGATTTCCCAATCTTACAATACAACATGTCACAAGGAAAAATGCGGCAAAAATTCTCGAAGAAAGATACTTGGCTTCAGAAATGCAGCTTTCGTCTTTCAATGAAGGATTGACTGCGCACATCCTAAATGCTATTAAGGGTATGGTAACTGTCATCGTATTTTCCAATGCAAACATACTATTTTTTCATTATCCCATTTATTCTGTGTTTGATGCCAGTATTGTCTGATTGTCTTGTGAGGAATTTATGACTTTGTATTTTCTACATACAGTGTGGGGTTTTTCGTTTTGCCCTGAAAATTTACATTTAAATTTTATTAATTTATATATTTGCTAATAAATTTTATCTTATTATAAATGATAACTGGAATGCTCGATATTCTAGAATTCTACGATTTGAATTAGAATTGGCAATATTTATTCATCTGTTGAAAAATAAAACTTTAAATACTTTAAAAGTTGAAAATTATGGCGCTCCGGTAGTAGTTGTACCAAGATGACACAACACAACAACTTTTAACTTGATACACATACTATGTTCAGGTTGTGCGCCATCTTGATACAAATACCTCAGGAGCACCGAGATTATTTAGTTTAATACACTTTTAAGTTGAAGAAAGTTGAGTTTCTGAAGTCACTTTTGGTATTATTGTATATATTAAGAAATAATAGTGATAATAGGCCATACATTGCTGCTAAAGCATTTCCCACATCATAATTATATTTAATCTTATTTCTTATTTAGATGAAGACAAAAAACGCATAAAATCTAGAGCAGCTACAGAGGCGGAGTCCATTGATCTCTCAGTCGTGAGACTAATGTTCATTGCTTACCTGCCTGATATCAATGGAGCTTTTACTTTGATGTTGACACCGGTCATTTCTGATGCCATTTTTGACAGCAGTGAGATTTTCTGTGACTGATTTATATTTGGTTATTTTACAACAAGGGTTGTACGAATAAATTTTTTATGAACATAATTTGAAATTCAGTTAATCAGAATTGATATTTTTCTATATTTTGATTCTTCTAAATTTATACATTGAAATAATGACCAGTTATAAGGATATCCTATTCCGAATACATTCCAAATAATTTCATTTTGAGTGTGTTCTAAACCGTGTCATGTTTAACGAAAAACATAGTAGTTTATTTATACTCAATGAATTTTAGAATGCAGGAAAAACAAGATTAATCGTTTTAAAAATGAAATTCGGGCATATAGTGAAACTTCAATTGTTCAAATAATAGTTTTTAAAATATATTATTTTGAAGTATTCATAATATCAATTTATTTATCAATTTATTACCAATAATTTTATTGACAAGCTTATTCAGACTGAATCATTTGCTTACTCAAGCTCAAACTTATGGACTTTTTGTTCAGAGTCACCAGATGCAGCGACATTGAAAATTTGTCGTATGGATAAAACATGTGGTTCGGCAAGCGGAATGGATGTGATTTACTTGTTATGTGATAAGGTCCAGAAAGGTCAGTTTTTCAAATACAACTTAAATTAATTACCAAAATTTGAAAAAGAAGGAACGAAATGTCTTATATTTAGACTTTCACACAAATGTAGTTTTGAATAATGATGTAGTCAGCACGTGTTAAAAATGTAATCTACTTATAAAAGATGTAATAATATATACAAAGAATTTGAATGGTTTTCTCCAATAAGCTATGTTTAAACTACAGATGATATTCAAGTTCGCTTCTTTGAGGAAAATGAATATGGAAATGATGATAACTGGGATGCTTATGGTGATTTCTCGCCTACTGATGTACACAGGCAGTTTGCGATTGTATTTCAAACACCAAGATATAAGGATGTGGGCATACACAAGCCTGTTCAGGTTCAGGTATGTTGTGTCCTTTACCCTTTAAAATTACAGAATTTTCTTAATAATATGGAAGTTGATACTTTATTTTATACATATAACTGTTTAAAAATTTGCCGGTTCTAAAAAATTGTATTTTTCAAATTGGAATCGGTTATAGTCAATATCAAGTTGATTACTATTTTTGTAAAAAAATCTTGACTAATAGTTTCATGAACTCTTGGCATTTCAGTAGTTGCCTGTTATTACTAAGGGATAAATCTCTTTCACCATTGGGTAAGTGTATTATACCTTGCTCTGAACGAATTACCTCAACAACAATTATGAAAATAAATTATTGGTTTAGGTTGAACTTAGACGCAGATCAGATGGCGAAGTATCAGAACCACGTACATTTACCTACATGCCTGTTAAAGATGGTTTGTTTTCTTTAATATTTCAGGATTGCAATATCATTTAAAATCTTGGAACAAATTTCAAATTTTTAATAACTTTCTTTATTCTAGACATCAAACTAGATCCTGAACAGATAATGAAAAAACGTAAACTCAGCACACATTCTGAAGACCATATTGTAGGCAGTCAAACATATGGTGAAGCATCAGAACCATGTACATTCACCTACATGCCTGTTGTTCAAGATGGTTTGTTTTCTTCAATATTTCAGGATTGCAATAACATTTAAAATTTTGGAACAAATTTCAAATTTTCAATAACCATCCTTTATTCTAGACATCAAACTAGATCCTGAACAGATAATGAAAAAACGTAAACTCAGCACATATTCTGAGGACCAACGTTTTAGGGAAGGTATTTATCCTGAAATAATAAAATTAGTAAAAGTAGTACCGATTCATAAAAAAGGCACAAAATCTGACTCTAATAATTACCGACCTATTTCTCTCTTTTCTCAGTGTGCCAAAATTTATGAATATTTTTTGTATAATCGCCTTGCAGTCTACCTTGACAAAACAAATATGCTGAATGAATCCCAATTTGGTTTCCGAAATGACTACTCGACCGAACTCGCAGTGACAAAATTGAAAGAAAAAATATTTGAAAACTTGTCAAAAGGCAGAGTTACCTGTGCTGTATTTTTAGACTTGGCTGAAGCTTTTGACAGTGTGAACCATGAAATTTTGCTTTGTAAAATGTCTCATTATGAAATCTGAGGTTTACCCCTCAAAATATTACACTCATATCTAAGTGAGATACAACAGTACATTGAATTCATCGATGGCATCTCTTCGCTCGAATACATAACATGTGGTATTCCACAGGGAAGTACTCTGGGACCGCTTCTATTTCCAATATATATCAATGAATTACCAGCAGCAACTAGGTTAGACTCGACTCTTTTTGCAGAAGATACCGCGCTCATTGATTCTGCTGCATGCTGTGGAAAACTGAAGATTTCGATCAATAAAAAAATGGAGATGGTCAACTTATGGCTAAAAAGTAATAAATTATCTTCAAACCTTGCAAAAACAAAATTCATGGTTTTTGGTTCCAGGCAAATTACTTGGCAGTTCCATCTCAAAATTGACAATAAAAAGATAGAAAGAACAAAATGTATTAAGTATTTGGATATAATCCCAGATGAGAACTTGTCACGGAAATATCATATTGATCACATATGTAAAAAAGTTTTACAATCACTCGGAATATTGTATAAATTACGTAGAATCCTCGGTATCGATGCATTAAAAATTGTATACTATATTTATATACTCAATCTGAAATATGGCATTATAAGTTGGAGAGGAACTAATAAAACTACGCTAAAACCACTAGTAATTCTGTATAACAAGGCAATTCGCTGCATGCTATCTGCAGAATCACAGCATGTTCCTAACTCACTCTTATACAAGCAGTGTGGAGTATTACAACTGAACGATATTTATCTTTCTGAAATTGCAAAATTTATGTATCGCTCCGAAAATCATATGCTACCCTCTATATTTCAAAATTTTTTTACAAAAATTTCAACCATCCATAGCCGTGCCACAAGAAGTGTTACGAAAAGGACTTATTTCATGCCTCGATGTTCATTTTCATTAACAAAAAAACGCTGAAAACAAAAGGCATTTGAATTCGGGGAAAATTTCCGTCTAATATTTTAATAAACTCGCTTGCAACATTCAGTAAGCGATTAAAAATTCATCTACTTAATGGCTATGGATAAATGAAAAAAAGACTGGGTTTATTCCCTTACGTATTCAAGTTATATTATTATTGTATTGTTGCTATGTTCATGCTCTATAATTTTTGCCCAAACCTCAAATAACTTCAATAATAATTTTTCCTCGTTTAATAACAAATTCTGCAACTAGTAGTTCCCCCCATTAGGTTCCCCTGCGACTTCCGTTCCACAGTAAAACTGTGTACTTTATTATTTTTTTGTAATTTGTGCCTGTGTTATTTATTTATTTTTTGCTGGTTGAAAAAAAAACTTGATTGATTTGATCGAGAATATATTTAAGCAATGATAAAACTGATAAAACATTCTGTTGTAGGCAGTCAAACAAATGATTACGCTGAACATGCAGCTATGAGCACTTCTCGCCAGTCTGGTGAATTCATATTTCAGAGCAGTGGAAACAACACTGGTGGTGGTGGAAAGCAAACTAAACGTTTTGGCCCTCCTCCTAGACAAGCCAATCCACAAAAAGGACCACTTGACCCTTCATGGTTGTTAAAACAAATGCACACCATGAAACAGGAGCCTGTAAGTGTTAACAAAACCACAAAAACTCATGCTATATCTACTACTTTTTGGATATATATACTATATTATTATTATTATTAATATTCGTATTACAACGTGGGTACAATATTACATATTTCAAAGTTGGTACATATTCATATACAACGATAAAAAAAACACAAAAAAAAAACTAAACCAAAAAGGATATGTTTTTGTTTATCGATACATTTGACAATTTCTCAGTAAATAAATTTTATATGATATCAAAAAGAATTATGCTGAAATCAATTTAGCGTTGTAAAAACGACATGAACCTCAAATTTTCTTGCAGGCTAGCCCGCCAATGACAAGTGGTGGAATGGTGATGAATAACGAAATCTCCACCCAGGAATCATTATATGACTCACAAGCTATGGTGCCTTCCACACAAGGCCATGATGTAAGTTTGAATAGATTAGTTTTGTGTGTTATATACCAAACAAAAATGGCTTGAATTTAGCTGAGCGAAATTACAAATTACATAATTTCATCTTATCTAAAATTGAGCTAAATGCAAGACTGAATAATTAAACCATTTGAATATTGCAACCCCATTATCCATTTCCACTGATTTTGTCTTCCTAACGAGAATTCAGGTTTTCAATACTCAATTCGACTATTCAGTTTTTTTTTCATTTAATTTCTGTCAGATTTTGATGATATCCAATTTATTACTTATATTATATACTTATTTTTATTTGTTATTGTTTTACCCAAATAACCTATCAAAATTATTTTTTCACGTCTACTGCTTTTTCAGTAATTTTTATATCGGTTCCGCATGTATTACCATACGTTTAAAAACTATTAATAACATTATCTGGTAAAATGAATTTGTAGAACAAATCCCATTAACTGTAGTTTTTGTCAATATTACTGTTACATATTAAAATTTGATATTGTTGGTTCATTGTTTGGAAGAGCTTTGTAAGTTTTGTGTTAATACAGTGGACAATATGGTTCGATATAGAATTATTATATTCTATTGTAGTTTTGATAATATCGAATTTCAATATAACAATTAATCTTTTATGTCTTGTCAGCTTAACTTGGTGGGTTCAACATATTTGTTTTTTAGATGAGATTGTGTGTGAACATGAAATTTTAAATTCACTAATATATAAAATATACCTACTTTATTTTTTTAAATTTATAGAATATGGAACCTCAAATTGAGCTGACCTTTATTTTTTTTTCTAATTAGGATGTAAATGAAGTTGTCGCACCACAAATTTCAGAGTCAAATTTTATCCCTGGAACACGTGTCCCTTTACCACGGACATTAACTTATAATACCCAAGCACAGCCCCAGTTTCCACAACAACAGGTACATTATTTTATAATAAAAATGTCATTCACACGGTATTGATGCCGTATTCGTGACTTTGTGTTTTTCAATCAGAAGCTTACTAATATGGAATATTGTTGTATTACTTTAATTAGATGGTAGAAGCTTCATAATATAAAATCTACGATGACTTGATAGTTATTACCGGTATGCCATCATGATCATTTCAAGTTATCTAGTTTAGTTCTCAGCTATTCTGCCTGCGTGTAATCCAGTGGCTCGGTCGACGGGTAATTTTAACTCCTGCAGCCTTGCGTTGTGATCTGTGCATGTAGAAACACATATATATAGCAATTTTAGCAAAATTGTTTGTTCTCCTTTTATTATTCCAATGTGAAAATAATGCATAATATAAATAGGCTCTTTCTAATTTGGTAATATAACCATAGTTTGAAACAATATTCATTAATAGACTCCAATAAAAAGTTACAAAAGTTCAAAATTCAAAAATGTATTTTCTTTACGTTTAAGTGTTGAAAATGTTTAATGAAGCTTTGAGGAACATACTTATTAATTTGATGAAATTTGGTATTCTGTTATCTAAATTTTCTATATCGCCAAATACGATTGTTTGCCACATATTGGAGTATTACTAAAATGTCCATCCGAGTTCCAATCAAATTTCTTCATGAGGCGGGGGCCATATTATCACATGGTAATGGAGAGTTTGGTTGTATTAAGATTAAACTTGAAATGGGCATGAAATCAAAAATGTCAACAACGCAGGAAGAGATCTGACTCAATATATTTCATGAAAAAAGCATGTGATCCAAAATGTATCTGCGACTACTCATCTGTGATCCTAGATCTGGGAAAGTGATATCTTCAGGAGAAGCTGATTATAATCATACAGAAACAAGAATTATCTATGAAGAAAAACAAAAAGTTTTTCACAACTGAGGAGTTGTTGGTTTGAGATATCATTGTAGAGAAGCCGAGATAACATACTGAAGATTTTGGGTCGGTAATTGGTGTCAGAACCAAGTTAATTTTATGACTGACCATCATTGGCAAATGATTAAATTTTTAAATGAAGATTTTCTTAATTCGGACCAATTTTGTTACACAAGAAGCAATGCCCTAAACGACTTTTCATGTTTGTTGTTCATTCTCAGCTTTGTTCGTATACCAAGAAAAACAACAGCAGCTAGATATTATTACTGGGATTCGCAATTCAGCAAAATTATTTACAACTTTACAAGTAAGCTTTGCCCGTGAATTTTATTTTCTCGTATTCATGTGTGCTGTAAATTACAGCACTGCTGTTTATGAATTTGTTCTTTTTAGTTAAATTGCCGTGATGTGTTTTACATTTGTGTGAGTGTAGGTGAATGTGTACAAACGGTTACAGCATTCGCTCTAAACTTTTCCATAGATTTTGCCCCTTTACCCAATTTTTCCGTCATCAATGTTTGCGTTCTTTTTTTTTCTTTTTTTTATTCATGGTCTGTGTTGTACACGAGAGATCGAAATAAAATTGTTTTGTAATCATTTCCTCAAAATAGTTTTTTAATATTTCCCCTTTTGAGTTAAAAAGCTTTTGGTATGTCTTTATTACTAAAAAACACTTTATCTTGTTCTTGGATAATAGAAATAGGATAGTTACTAAATCACTATTGCTATCAACGTTTGGTTAAGTAAATAGGTATCCAATGTTTGCGAAAATTTTCCATTAAAAAAAAAACATTTTGTTGTGACAAAGAAACAGTCATTTAATTTGATTAACTTATTTAACTAATCTGATGCAATCAATATATATTTAGGGGTGAGTACAACATACTAATAATAAACTGCCGAATTGTATTTATTTTATCTGAATATTTCTGTGTTATTGTAATAATTTTAATCCCTTAATTGTATTGTTACATTGGGTGTGTAATGTCAAATTATATTATAAAGCATTTTATGATAAGTTATGAATTTGTCATCTCACAGGAAGTCGTAATGTAAGTGTGATACATATGTGTTCCGTTTTTTTATTTTATTTTAGGCAGCAGCTTGAATTTCAGCCGGATATTGACAATATTCTATTGTCTACTCTAAAGTAAACTAACGGACTTTATATTCATTTGTTACTTATTCTTGTTAACATACGATTTTTTTTATTGTCAGATGAGGAGGAGCACGGTGAATTTAACGAATTTGTTTTCAGATTTTGGTGTTTAAACATAAAATTTTAAATTTACTATTAAATTTTAAATTAACTATTTGTAATTCTGATTTATAATATATTTAAGACGTGATTTTTGCCGAACAAGTCAATGTCCTAAATAGTTGTATGTTTTGAATGAAATATTCTTATTCACGCGATATCTTCAAATCTCTGCGCTGAACAAAATTGTTTCATTTCGAATAATCTTGACTGAGCTTGTGAGTCTCGTTTGGAGTTAAAGCATAAATAGTTCTATGAAAAATCAAATGTTGTCAAGGTGATGAAACATATGTATTTTTATTGTGCTCCCATTTATTCAGAATGTAATATTATACTCAATAGGCAATGTAAAACAGGGAAAAATTTGGTACTTACACAGATCATTGATCGATTCAAATGTGAAAATACCTTATAAAAATTTTGTTTTGTAAAGTGTTTATTTTTTTCACAATTCGCATTCGCACGGAAAACCATGTCCAATTTTGTGACCGGAAATGTGGATGAAAATAGTTTCTCTGCAGGGATGCAAGACATATCGGAAATATCCTTGCTTCCACTCGTATGTCTCTAACTCTAAGTCTCTTTTGCCAAAGACAGTTTGTAAAATCATATGAAATTATAGTGAGGTTCAAATTGAAGATTCGTACTCAGCCCAGGATTTTATACAAAAACGATTCTTTTTATGCATCCATATGCAATCAGCATCAAAAATATTATTTTGCTGATCTCTGGGTCTTGTGCCACCGATAAGCTGTCATAATCTGAATTGCGATAGGCCAGTCACCGAGTGTTTAATAAATTTGTTAGTCTCTCGTCAAACATTAACTTTTGACAATAGTTTGGCTGCCGGATTCATTTGTACAGCGCTTATGTACATTTACACTTTGTCAGAACGTCCAACTTTGTGCGAAGTTGTTAATGTAAGTGTTCCGTTTTTGTGTGGCATAATTGAGTTGGTGAATTACTTCGTTTAGTTATCTGTTAGATAGAATTTTTGCAATTTAATGATAGAAAAAAGAGAAGAAAGATATTTAAGTAACTTTATGTAGTTCCACTGCAATGATATTTTGTTACCTTACTAAGTAGATATATAAAAATTGTATATACAGTTTTTTATGACAACTAAAAAGTCTCGAGATCGACATGCCTATTTAAATATATTCATAACAAAACAAAGATGAAATGTCAAAACCTGGTAAGTTATACGTTTCATATGCTAAAAATAAAATACATTTTGCACCTTTAAAGAATTGCATAAATGCATGTAGACGTAGTTTTAATAAGTGTGATTATTTTCGAAATACCATTGGTTATTAGCCTAAGTGATTCAAGAGTCTTGCTGCACAATAACACAAATATATTTTTGTAACGTTCCGTCTGACCAAAGTCAGACTTCTTCAGACATACAAAAAAGACAAAGACATACATCGCAGAAACCAAATCATCAGCACCCATTCGTTACATAGATCAGAGGGTCGGCGTCCTTTGTCGCTCGCCAGCCAAAATTAAGGAATGCAAGTCTTGACGGGCCGCACATATTTTAAAAAGTTAAAAAACCGAACGGATGGCCGATGAATCACAACTTTTTCACACAGATCAGAAGTTGAAATTTTAGATTTTAAACAGCGCGCGAAGAATGCGACAACTCGAAAACTCAACTCAGTAGTCTTACTGAAAGTAAAAAAAATTACAAATGACATTTAATGTGACTGTTGTTGCATCACACTTGATAGCTTTTCGAAATCAGGTGGCACACTAGATAAAGCCAGTTAGTATAGAGATTATTATATAAAGTTAATATAGAGATTATTATAAGAGCAAAAAAGCCAACGCCTAAGTAAATAACAGAATAACTATTCTAATGTAACACAGAGCGTTCACAGTACGAAAGTGAAGTACTGGAAAATACCATGAAGGATGCAAGTGAAGACGAAGAAAAATTGCTAGGGCCAGGTATACGTGCAAATTAAATATATATATTTTTATATATGTATACTGTATATATAACTATTGTGGCGCCTGAGATTGTAATGAATTATAATGGAGCATTTCTCGTTGGTAAATACTGACTGACGCGAGACACGAAGTAGTTTATGTCAATACGACCAGGGAAACAGCTACTAGTTAGTTCTTTTGGGGGGGCTGGGGATGATAGGTACACCACAAGTTATCGGTACTACTTATATCGGTACAGAACATTGGCACGGCAAGAATCAAATCGCGTTAACTCAAGTTTTGGCGACTAGTGTTTTTTATACAATAGTTATTTATCAGTGCCGATGCTGGACTCCGAAATGCATATAAGCGAAATAAATAGCCTATTGCAATTTTTTTCGTGACAATGAATTATGACTGTTGCACATATCGGCGATGCATTTTTCTAGTTTTTGCTTCTCAGATTCTAGCTAAGCACTTATAAATTTGAGTTTACACTAAAGCATAAGGAAAGTAGGCACTAGTAGTAATATGCAATATTTTGAGTCCAATTAACATTAACTCTTTACGGCATGACGCGTGGCGAAACATATTAGCAAATTTTGCTTTCTTTCAGAATTTGGAGACGAAGCCTTTAAAAAAAGATTGCTGATAAAAGAACTTAGAGGTTTATATTTTGCTGTTGTTTTTTGTTTTTATTACCGTCAACAAGTGCTTTAAATCAATGAAACAGAAACACAACCGTGTAGTTCTATTTTATACGAGATTTCATTACTGCAAGAATTCATTGCGTTGTGGTGCCACAGCTCCTCTGTAGAACCCTCTCAAGTTCATAAAGCAATTTTTTGGCTGTTGTCATTTCCTCGTTATGTGACTGGAATAAAAATCAGTAATACCACGATGTTTAGTTTTCACTCCAAACAAGGCCCTATACAAGCAGATATTGATATCTAATGATATGCATGGAACTACAATTATTTTGTTGAGATCGGAAACTTTCTGCTTCGGCATTAACTTATACTAAATTCACTCCACATTGCTGCGCAAGGAGAGGGCATGGAACTTGAACCTGAAATGTGACATTTGCTAAGCCAACACAGCTGAGTCGCGCCCAATACTAGGAGGATGAAATATTGGAAATTTTCCTATTTAAGTTGGTTGCATTACTCTTTTTATCAATCAATGGTCGACATTGCTAACGGTAATTTTTTACTTCTTACAGAAAGGGCAAGTTCTCAGCTTCAAAATGAACAATTCGAATTAGCTTTGGAAACTTCACAGGACCTGCAAAAAATTCAGAAAGATCCATGGTATTGCTGGTTGACTTTACAAGAAATTGCCGAATTACGTATAAAATGTCTTCAGAAACATCAGCGCGTCATTGAGAGCATCGCGAATTACTGCACAGAATTTATAATTACCCATGACCAAATAAAACAATGAGCAGAAAAACATTACAGATATTCTAAGTGGATTCGATCATTCGTAATGTACAAATGCTTGTCGATGATGTGTGAAAAAGACGCGGCCGACATACTGAAAATGTGCATAATCAACACTCATGCAATTGTTGAAAAGCTTTCTAGAGACACCGATTCAGAGCGACATAATTTACGAACATTTATCATCATCGACACTATAATACCCGTTTTGGAAGACATGTTGTGTCAATTGCGTGCTGTAGAAAACAATAACGTGCTACAATGATCAATTACAACGCCATGCCGAGGGACTAAAATTAATGTATGAATAATATGGCGACGATTTTCATAGGCATACCGTGACATCACAGCTTTTGAAAAACAAATTTTTTTCAAGACGGCTGATTATTCAATTTCACAAAGTGGTAAGTAATGCTATTGAAAATGAAAAAGTTGGTAAATGGTAAGTACTTGTAAACATGTGTGAATTGAAATGAGCAAAAGCATTTGAATTATCAGTTGATCTAATTAAAAATACATTTCATTAATATTTAACCGATGCGATTAACCAACGATTTACTTGTTCACAAATCTGTGTCTCGGAAGAGAAGACTCTGGATTCAACAAAAGAATTCAGGGTCTAACAAAATTTATTTTGGTACACTATGACTATGTCACCTGGTTATGTTGCAGATCTCCTTAATTTTCAATTTGTGACGTCACGGGAAATCTTTTGAAATGATTATCAGACTCAATCGAAACAATAAATAGATAAATAAGTGGTGACAGATCACAAGTAAACTCCTGTCACTGTTTTCGATGTTAATTTGCAAAAAAAAAACGAAAGATAAGTTATCGTTTTATATATATATGCCAGACGGGGTAGAGATCATACCAAGACATAATCATGCCGTGAGGCGTAAACTTTTGTGGTTCCGCTTTGGTATGCTTTTTATCTCATGACGACAATCTCACAGAATTCAGGTCCCAACCCTAAACCTGGCATTGTTGAGTTAAGGTTAGATTAATGCTGAAATCACAGAACTGCTGAGATCGCATACCAAAGTCACATCCCAAAATCTTTTTCAGAACACCGCATTAGCAATAATCCGGATGAGTCGATACCAACGAATACGGCAACTGGAGCTGCAATACCAGATCTCCTC